GCTATATAGTAAGTTTCTAATACGGGTTCATTTATATATTGATAGTTGACACTCTTCTAATAACCTATTAACCTGTCTATTGATATAATTAGATGAAAGATTTGTAAACTCTAGGTCCATGTATTATCTTAACTCAGGCTCGTTTGATTAAACTCAGCTCAGATCATCATCAGTTTAGTTTTTCCGTGTGGTATAAAATAGTTTATTCTATTTGGCCAATTTAGTAGTCATTTTTCTATACGGTCTTACCTCTTACGTAGTTACTAGTTACTGTTACATGTACTATTGGTCTATTATTAGTCATAGTCATAGACTCATAGTCATGTTAACATCAATACATATATAACTCGCTGAGATGTTGGGAATTTTAATTTATATTATCAGAATAAAAAGACAAAAAAAGAAAACCATTCCTTTAGCCTAATTATTATTTTCCATTAATTACTAACGCGTGAGAGGATTTGAAGATACGTGGAGTATATATTTGTGGTTACTCGATTCGAAAATGTGATCGGGTTAGATGTTAACATCATCATTAGGTGAGGATTTACCAATATAATTAACTTAAACTGAAATTAATTAGTGTATAATTGTAGTCTCTTTAAGACTCAATGTACGTTTGGATCTTCAATAATTACTAGTATGTATTTCGTTTGATTACATTTACATCATCATATATAACAAGTAACCTAATTCATATTCATTGTGATCTTCATAAGTGAAAATACTTTATGGGAAGTAACATTATTCGAACCTTGAAAAGACAAATTAAATATACTAAGATAGTAGTAATACGTAGAACGGTAGAAGAGCTTTTTTTAAAAACATGTCATGATGACATGATTGCTAGATTTTGATAGTTTTCATGCACACACATGCGTTACATATATGTGTATATTGGTTGTATTTAAAACATATAAACAAATGCGCAATTCTCAAAGGCAAACCTAAAAGAGAATAGTCAGCTGGTTGGTCGCACCATTCGACGAACACACTAGTATATATGTCGTAAAATAACAGTGCCTCAAAAGCAAGCGATAGTAAATCTAAAAACAAAGAATAATATTTTGAAAACTATTATAAATCTGATTAAATAAAATAAAAAGGATATAATATTAGAAAAAAAAAATAAAGACGAATGGAACAATCTGATTGACACCAAAAGGACAAGAAATGGAATAACAAGGGACCATCACTGCCATTTTCATTTTTCACTACTCCCTTTGTGGTCTCACTCTCCCATTACTCATGAAAACAAAAATCAAATTATTAATTTGTTTCTTTCTCATCGACTTTATTTGACATATATATACTGTATGTAATAATTATTAGCAAATAGGAGTTAAGAATGAACAAAACAATTTCACCTAGTTTCCTCTTTTCATCCTGTCCATTCCCAATATGATTTTAGTTAAGAATGAACAAAACATGATTTTAGTTTCCACTTTTAAACGAAAGAAAGATAGAGAGCTATGTATGCTAATTATAAAAAAAACTATGAATGTTATTAATTATTATTTTTATGCTAATTTAAGTCTCCTAACTAATTCATCTTAAATCACTAGTTGAAAACATTAAACTAGACCCGAATTTTTCCTTCTTTTTTTTTTGGTGAAAAAGAATGTAATTCCGGCGACTTTCAGATCCATGACTCACGAGGCATATTGGTGTGCAGAATTTCATATGACGACGATAGATGGATATGAAACTATATGATATATACTGACAAGACAATAAATCAAACCTATGTTGCTATGATGAGCCTATTGCCTATGTGTTACGAGTCCTTCTAAAAGTTTTTAGCTAATCAAAGTCAATTTTTTTTTTTTCCTTTAGACAAAGTGGAAACTTTTATCTTCTAACATTTTGCTATTGCACCACACATAATGGCATAAACCAAATAAAACCTATGCTCACTTTTATCGATTTTGCATTACGTAGACATATTTCATAACAATAAACACATTTCATAGTTAAAGTCTTTGGTTTTAAGATGCGTAAGAAATCAATAAAATTAATATTCGAGATTATGGTGAATGTGTTATGAGAGGTGGAGAAGCGACAAACGTGTCGAAATAGAGAGATGAAAGAAAAGAAAAACTAATAAATACATTGTTGAAGGTTAGAAACTTAGACAACACCATTGAAGATAATGAAAAGCAGAGAGAGCAAAAGGATCCATTACAAGTTGGCTTTTGGTGGGTAAAGACTATAAATGCCTAAAGAAGGAGAATCCTCTCCACACGTACGCAAAAAAAAAAAAGGAAGGTTCGGCACGTAAACGGATGGTTGTGTGCATACGTGTGTGAACGGAGGGTGGGATTCACGTGAGAGATTCACGTACCCCGTTCACGAAATTTTATTTGTTAAAGAGAAACCACTAAATTTATATTTCAAAAATCAAAGTAAAAACGAGAAAAAATATTGGTAGGAGAGGGTGGAAGGTTGGGCTGTCAATTTTTTATTCCAGGTTTGTAGTTGGAACTTCTAAAAAAATATGTAACTAAGATTTAAAATAAAATAAAATAATATGATTTTTTTCCCTTGCGTTTCTTCTTTTTATACGGAGGAGAAGTACTCTCCAACATGAAGTAACCATGTTTAAAAGAAAAAAATGATATTATGATTTTGACATGATAGATTTCCACATGGTGTCACAATTAATATATAAACAAAACTCGATGTACATGTTCTATATATATATAAGTGGACTTATGCTTTTGCTTTCGACGTTTGCATTAAATACTTATCCCATTAATGGACTTATATATATAACCTACGGTGCAATATCCAAGATTTCTCTAGCCGTTTGTGGGATATGCAAGACAACTCGTATTCGGGAAATGCTATTTTTTTAGTAAAGACCGACGTGATACGATATAAAATCGTCAGTTTAAGAAAGATATCCCGATCGATATATTCATATATATATATTAAGTTATTAACTATGGTATTCAAATTAGAGTCTACTAAAAGAGCCATACCGAAACAAGAAACTTCAAGTACTCTCCATCTCTAAGAAGCTGTTGAACCAAAAAAAACGGTTATGTGTCGATTTCATCGGTTTTCTAGATTATCCCAATACACACAAACACAAACATAAGTTAACATTCTGATCAGCACTTGACTTCTGATCTTTCCTCCAACCTTTCCCACGTGCCAAACATCACGTCCCGCTTGTGCGAACTCTCTTCTTCTATTGTTTATTAATATGCTTTAAAAAATATTACGTAAATTATAAATGGATGAAATTTTGATGTCACAAAAAAAAAAAAAAAAAAAAAGATTGATGAAATTTCATGACATTATCCTCCAACCAAGCCATTCCTACTTACACCGTACTCGACCTCAATCAGTAATATATGTATGCGCTTACAATAGCAATTGTCAGAAAAATAGTTTGGATATGATATATAGATAGATATATATATTTATTTATTTATATTTTTTTTTTGCATGAGTATATATAAAACTCAGCATGCTAATTTTCAATGTTAATGGTATTGGTATATCTACGTAGGAGGTTAATTATGCGATCATTATAAAGTACTGCTAACTCATATATACGTAACTACTAATTCGTCATTTCATTGAAAAAGTCGATTTGAAGTGATTAGCTTGTGGTTAGAACTTAGAATCAATTGATTATATGACACTCATTTGTTTTGGTATACTGATTACGACACTCGTACGGACTTCTTGAGAGTCATATTCTCGTTATCATAAGGAAAGCTATTTTGATATAAAATATAAATAACATACAGTCTTTAAAAAACGGACATACTAGATGTAAATAAATGTGTAGACTTTAAATTTATGCTGATTGATACTATTACTAGGGACAAGGTCTCCACTAGGTATGAAATGCAAATATGAAGAGTCGAGGACTATAAAGCTACGGACTACGGAGCAGCAATGGCCAGTTTATGTATAAAATGGACTTAACTAACCCTATCTGCCAGTTAGCTCAGTGTAATCAGAAAGTTGACAGACGAGGGCATTATGGGAAATATGTTTATGGCAGTATCTTTATATTTATATATAATATATTATATTTTTTTCTTGGTCACGACGGTATTACTATTTAATATTTATGGTGGTGGTTCGTATCATTGAGAGATGACCTTGTACTCACTTTTATTTCTTCTTCTTCTTCTTTAAATTCGTTTCAAAAAATAAACATCTTTAAATTGTTTATGGCAGCCGACATTTCGTGTAATAAAAAACATTTGTCTTATTATAATTCTTATTTTACAATTCTATGAACCAATATTTTCGCTGTTAATATATCGTTGCAAAATATAAGTATATCATAAGAAACCACAGTTAATTAAAAAGGAGAAAAAAAAGTACTGGATTTTGTATTTGCACGAATAGTTTCTTTTTAATATCAAGAAACCAACTAAGTAATAAAGAAGAAGATTGGTGGGCTTAAAAAGGGTGGTGAAGAAGAAAGAAGAGTGACATCTCTATCTCTCTCTCTTATCATATTTTTTTCTTTCTTTCATTTCTTTTAGCTTTGGGGGAGAGATTTATTAGTTTTTTTTATATATAATATATATTGTGAAATACTGAATAAACTCCTAGTAACCAAGAAAAGGAGAGTCCAGAAAAGAGAAAGCGAGAGAGAGAGAGAGAAAACGATACCTAAGCTCTCAATTTATATTATCTTCTCTGCAGCATACTCCAAAGGTATTCGATCTCTTCTTCTGTTCTCTCTTGCATACATACATATCTATATCAAGAAAGATACGTACATCTCTTTCTGTATGTGTTTTGTTCATCAGTTATAGATGATGTAGATAGATGAAAAAACAAAAAAAAAAAACAAAAACATTATAAGACCTAGTTGACTCTCTTCCCTGAGTTGTGGTTTTAACTTCTTTGACTGAATTATCATTCCAGGATCCAAGAGAGAGCTAGCTCCAAGAAGATATATTTTTATATAAATATATATATATATATATATATATATATATATATATATATATATCATGAAGAAGAAGATTGAGGTATGGATATGGGAATAGCTAAAACTTCTTCATCTTCTACTTGTACAATTCTTTTGAAGACTCTTCACAATAATTCTATGTCCCAAGATTATCATCATCAAGGAGGAGTCTTCAGCTTCTCTAATGGATTCGACCGATCAGATTCTCCCAGTTTAATAACTCATCAGAAGCAAGAGCATCAAAGGGTAGAAGAGATGGACGAGGAATCCTCAGTCGCCGGAGGTGGGATTCCGGTCTATGAAACTGCCGGAATGTTATCCGAGATGTTTAATTTCCCCGGAGGCAGCCGCGGAGGAAGAGATCTCGACCACGGCCAATCTTTCCGGTCCAATAGGCAATTGCTTGAGGAGCAACATCAGAATATTCCGGCCTTGAATGATTCGGCCACCGCCACAGCTGCCGCCATGCAGTTATTTTTGATGAATCCACCGCCACCGCACCAGCAACAACCACCGTCTCCGTCATCCACGAGTACCACAAGGAGCCACCACAATTCGTCAACTCTTCACATGTTACTTCCAAATCCATCCACCAACACAACTCATCATCAGAGCTACGATAATAATATGTCTATGCATCAACAGCTTCCACATCATCATAATCACCAACAGCTCACGTGGCAGTCTTCTTCCTCCGATCATCATCACAACAGCCAAACCGAGATCGGGACCATCCACGTGGAAAACAGCGGCGGACAAGGCTTGTCCTTATCTCTCTCATCGTCTCTAGAAGCTGCTGCCAAAGCCGAAGAGTACAGAAACATTTACTACGGAGCCAATCCTTCTAACGCATCGCCTCATCATCAGTATAACCAATTCAAGACTCTTCTTGCTAACTCTTCTCAACATCATCAAGTGTTAAACCAATTCCGACCATCTCCGACAGTTGCAGCGGCCTCTTCCTCGTCCATCGGAGCTGTCAATATCTTAAGACACTCGAGGTACACAACGTCCGCGCAAGAGTTGTTGGAAGAGTTTTGTAGTGTTGGAAGAGGTTTTTTGAAGAAGAACAAACAAAAAAACAACTCAAACCCTAATGCTAGCGGTGGCGACGGCGGTGGTGGAAGCTCTCCTTCGTCGGCCGGGGCAATCAAGGATCATCCTACTTTATCGGCGTCTGATCGGATTGAGCATCAGAGAAGGAAAGTGAAGCTACTCACCATGCTTGAAGAGGTAAGTTCATATTAATTCTCTTTTTACTTTCAATCTTGATTTTGACTTTTTCCGTAGTGATATTAATTCACACATTTAACGTAAAATTGTTTTCATAAAATTACAAGAAAATTCATATATATTGTTGTATTATTACAACGAAACAAGAAACATGATATGACTGGATTTGGTCTTTTGTTTTCTTGATTAACTACTTATTATTTGATTGTTTTGGTAGAGAGTCTGATTACGCAATCCTACCATCATTTATTTAAAACTTTTAATCGTTTTGCTCGTGTGACGGTCGTATTAGAAGGTGTATTGAATATTTTGATGCTTAGCGTTTGGTGGAATCGTTTAATCAAAGAAAAAACGCATTAGATAATTACGATTATTCAAAATTGGCGTTTCCTTCTCCATATAAGCTACTCTCCCTCCTTACGTCCTAAAGCTAATCCTCGACGTTACTTATTTGTTTACCCATACTTGAATTATTCTATTTTTTAGCTGACTTGTGTCGTTTTCTAACCAAAAATAAATAATTTATTTTATGCTCGAGGATACGATAAAATGTGCTGTTGGTAGGATTACGAAAACAATTGAAGGATATTCTCTGGTCCTTAATTTGTCTAGAATATCGTATTTCTTATATTGTCTTGTTTGAACATAACAGATTAATCTCATTTGTTTAATTTCGATGATACTCGTACTAAAGCTGAGCATACGTCCCCGTGATAAAAGTTTCTAAACTAATATTTAATCACGTGAATATATAACACCGATGATACTCGTACTAAAGCTGAGTTCAAAATAACATCAACCAAAAGAGCAAAAAAAAAATATATTAAATGTTTATGGATTGTATAATGTATAGTTTTTTTTTGTTTTGTTGGCAGGTGGACCGACGGTATAACCATTACTGCGAGCAAATGCAGATGGTCGTAAACTCTTTCGACATAGTAATGGGCCAAGGTGCGGCGTTGCCATACACCGCATTGGCTCAAAAAGCTATGTCGAGGCATTTTCGATGTCTCAAAGATGCGGTCGCGGCTCAGCTTAAGCAGAGCTGTGAACTTCTTGGGGACAAAGATGGAGCAGGAATGTCTTCTTCCGGATTAACCAAAGGGGAAACACCGCGGTTGCGTTTACTAGAACAGAGTTTACGTCAACAACGTGCGTTTCACCAAATGGGTATGATGGAACAAGAAGCGTGGCGGCCACAACGCGGTTTGCCTGAACGCTCAGTTAATATCCTTAGAGCTTGGCTCTTCGAGCATTTCCTTCACCCGTAAGTCCATTTTTTATTTTTTTTGTTGCTTTCTCATTATTCATTATATTTAATATAAATAGATCAATTACATTTGAAAGAAATTAAATTCTGAAAAAAAAGCTGAGAAAAAGTGTTTCTTTTCTCGTTATTTCACCACTAAGTACTTTAGTACTGTGACTGTAGAATTTTGCTATTTTATTGTTAGTGAGAGTTAACGAAAAAATGGAAATAAAGCAAAAGAGTAGTGTTTTTGTACGATTTTTCACCTATCTGACATTTGCTTTATGAGTAAAAACAAAACCAGAAAAAAATTATAAGATAAAAAAAAATGAAAAAGAAACTGGATCGATGATATGTAATCATCAGCTTTTCTTTTGTCTGTTAGATTCTCACGCCCTTGTTAGGAAAAAGTCTGTACTTTTTTTTCCTTGCATCTACTTGATTGTATTGTACATATAGTGAAAATATGTAAAAGAAAAAGAAAATTAGAATTGAGTTTATTAGGGCAAAGTTAGAGTGATGTCATTTTCTGGTCTCTTTCTCAGGTATCCAAGTGATGCAGATAAACACCTCTTGGCTCGACAGACTGGTTTATCCAGAAATCAGGTCAGTCTATAAATATACAAAACCATCAATTCAATTTTAAAAAGATCTCCATGAAGAATCACATATTACATTCATATGCCTCTAGTTTATAAACCAAGTTCTTAATATACTGAATTTAGTTTGGATTACTAATCACATACATATAACCTTGTGGTAACATATTGTCTTAAGATTAGTCCAGATTTTTACATATACAGAAATAGCCGCATACATTACTAACACGCACATACATAAGTAACATAACAATCTATCTCCCAATTTCTCCTTTTTGTTTGGCAACTATTACCCATATCACCTATTCACCTACTCATGTAGCATTTGATAAGCATAGTAATGATAGATATATAGGAGCTATTATATATTGGAGAGGAATATCAGCAAAGGACCAAAAAAATTATTTGATGAGAGTAGAGATCAGTAACTAGTAACTAGGTTGAGATGACGCTATTGCATGGCTTTTGTTTCTTTCCTTTGTTTGGTTTGATATGACAGAGGAACACCATGTGTTTTGCCTTCCACTCACTATTAGCTTTTCTTGGGATTCGTTTAAAGTTAAATTTATATCATCCCTATAATGTTACACACACACCCACACAAACAAGTAAGTCTATGAGAGAGAGAGAGATCGACATTAAAGACTCAAAAGGGACCATTTCTCCTCAAGTACATCAAAGTTTGCAGCTTTCAACTATCCCCTAAAGAAACCCTCAATTTCTTGTATCCCCTACATTAAATAACCACATGACAAATCAAAACACTCGGATTTCTTTTGGATATCCTATTATTATTATTACAATTATTCAAAATATTTGTCTTTTCTATATTTTTCAGGTGTCAAATTGGTTCATTAATGCTAGGGTTCGTTTATGGAAACCAATGGTTGAAGAAATGTATCAACAAGAATCAAAAGAAAGAGAAAGAGAACGAGAAAGAGATCAAGAAACAAAAAACAGTAACAACGACAAGAGCACAAAACCCAACGACAATAATGAAAGCAACTTCACTGCGGCTCGGACCACTTCATCACAAACTCCAATAACAACCGCACCAGACGCAGCAGCAGTAGCGACAGGCCACCGTCTAAGATCCGACATTAATGCTTACGAAAACGACCCTTCATCGCCTCTACTCCCTTCCTCTTACTCCAACGCCGCCGCCGCTTCTGCCGACTTGGGTTCTCGTTACGGTGGTGGCTCGGCAGCGTTTTCAGCGGTTGCCACGTGTCAACAAGGTGTTGGCGGGTTCGTTGATGCTGACATGGCTGGTGTTAGCGTTATAAGGTTCGGGACTAACCCTACCGGTGACGTGTCACTCACGCTTGGTTTACGCCACGCTGGAAACATGCCTGATAAGGACCCTTCTTTTTGCGTTAGAGACTTTGGCGGTTTTTAATTACATTTGCTCTTCTTCTTTTCTTTTTTTTTCTTAATCCATTTAATTAATTATAGTCTTCATTTTTCAATTTTACCTTTTTTCAATGAAAATTTCTATTTAATTAGCCCCTTAAGAGGATATAAAATACTTCAATTTAGTTAAAGCCCTCTTTCTTGTTTTTCATGTCTCGCGAACATAAGAAAACGATTTGTAAATCCCATCTCAAATCAATGTACAATTTACAGCGTTGTTGTTCATGTGCATATACGTATCTTTATCCTTAAAGAGTTTTTTTTTTTTTTTTTGGTCAACTATTTATCATTAGAATTTTTAACTAATTTCTCAAGGCTATATTAATTGTTTATGTTTTTGGGCCATTAAAAGGAAAGTATTAGGCCCAAAGGAATTTATTTTTCTTGTATATGGCATTATTGGACCTTAAGTTTGCAGAAAATCATGGTATATATATGTTGAAGCAATTTTGTTGTAAACTTCTCACCGACATTTCAAGAATGGCCAAAACAAATTTATGTATATGCGGCCTAAACCATTTTTATTTATTTATTTTTATAATCTATTAAAAACAAGAAGAAAAGCAAATGTTGCATTTGAGGTGCATAGATAATACAACACTCTAGAATCCCACTCATTGTTTTGTTTTGTTTTGTGTCTCAATAACTTTTCTTCATTATCATTGTATCTTGTCGGGATTCATTAATAATGTATTATTAGGATAAAAAGGAAAGAGAAAGAAAACCAAACTGCTTGAGACCGGTTTGTTCATACGCTTAACCAAAAAGCCTAAGTGCACTGCTTACTTAGACTATCTAGTACTCTCCGTGAGGATATCATTGACACCAAAAAAAAAGAAAAAAAGTTTAAGCATGATCCGTTGGACTTATAACACCATGCGGATATAGTCAAGTGCATGTATCTTCCATGCTAGCTTAGACAAAAGTCATATAAATCACTTAGCGGAATTGGAAGTTTTGGAACCTTTTATTGCTGTATGAATAATTTCAAGAATGAGTCATAACGTTTATATAATTAATAGTCCTCACTAACGAAACTACTACTAACTCAGTCGGCCAAAGCATGCACCATCAACATGAGAAAAGAGAACACCGGAAACTGATATCTAGTCATTACTTGAGAATAAACGCTCTTGCGTATGTAATAATGTATTATGAGTTCACTGTCGTATATGAACCCTACTAATGAACAAAATGATTCATAAAATCTCGGAAAGTTCTTGTCCATCTCCAAAATAAATAAATAAATATACATTTTCTATACATAGCTCTTGCAGTCTTACTCTATGAACAGTTTCTAATATGTTTTATACTTAAAGAAGAACAAATGTTTTGTCTTAACTGCATTTATATTCCTTGTTCTTGTATAGCAGAAAGAAACGATCACTATCAGAGGAAAACAATTCAATTTGCTTCAATGGTAGATGAAGAATGAACAAATATATATGTTTGGTGGGTGAAAGATTGAAGAAGATAGAATGGTGATTTTGGAAGGTAGTCTGTTGTTCTGCATGCTATAAATACTTACTCTGTACAAACTCTGAGTCTTCCTCTAAACAAAACCAGCCCACTCTTGAGATTCTATAGTTCGAATGTTCTTAATGAGCAGCATATGACAAGTAAGCTTAGCTACTTAGCTCTGACTTCATATATAAACCATTTTAGTCCCAAACTCCATACTTTATTACAGAATTTGATAGTTTTGTTTCAGGATGATAGGATTCAGAGACAGAACATTGCAGAGACAAAGTCACAAACGTTCAAAAAGGTTGCCAAATAGGATTTTTTTGTTTTTTTTCTTGTGTGTTTTGATTGTGATTAAATTTCATATCAAGGTTTCTGTTCTTAAAGGTGCTGGTTCTTTGGCTGCAGTTATCCAGGAAACAAAATACTTGAAGGTGACCATATAAGTTGCTTATCTCTCAATAATGGTTCCCACCAAGAGGAGAAGAAACTATCGCCTAATGTTGTAAAAGTCGAAAGCTCTCTTAAACAAGAGGTTAGATAAGTAAAACTTCTCTCACAAGTCACAACCGTTTTCAGAACACACCACACGATCTGCTCACTTTTGTCGTCCTTTATATATATATTATGCATGCAGATTATAGAGCTTGAGAAAACATTACAGAGCCAGTTTGATGTTCGTAACGATTTAGAAATGGCGTTGGGTTATAAAGAAACTCCTCAAGACTACAGTATCTTCACTTCCAAGGTACTTACTACTAGTCAGATCTTCTGAGCAAAAAGTAATTTTTGGTTCTTTTGGTTTTCTGTTTTGACAATAACTCATGTTGGATGTTATGCAGCCTGCTAAAGAATTGATCAAGGAAATTGCGATACTCGAATTCGAAGTTTCTAATTTGGAACAATACCTTTTATGGCTATATCGAAAAGCTTTTGATCAGCAAGCATCAGTATATCTATCTCCATCATCAAAACGGCAGAGATCAATTTCACCAAAATCAACTCTTAGGAGTAAATGTGACATCCCAAGAAAATATGAACCGCCTAAACATGAGAATCAAGAAATCGAATATAGGTGTTTCTCTTTCGACAATAGAATCAAAGATCCAGTTTCAACCAAGAGTGACATAGATTCGAGTGTTCGCCGGTGCCAATCCTTGCTTGATCAACGTTCCACTTTCACTAACATAATTTCTCCACGAGAAGAGTCCATAAAAGAAGTAAGTATAAACGATTTCAGTAGTCTCTTGTAATGGCATTTTCGTGTACTAATTGTTTATAACTATTTCTTGTTTCGGTTACTTCACGAAGCAGTACATAAAGAACAGATCAAGTATTGGCATTCGGATACCCTTATCCGATCACATACCTATAATGACTCCAAACAAGCTATCAGAGGAGATGATAAAGTATGCGTCGACTATGTACTGCAAACTTTCAGACACTCGGTTTCTTTCTTCGACAAGCAAGTTGTGGAGTCTAAGCTTCAGGAAAAACTCTGCTTTTGATGACAAAATCGAATCAAGTGCACCGTACAACTCGATGATCGAAGTGTCACATATTGAAAGGAAAGGGCATGACTTTGAGCTGATGCTTCGACATTTCAGGTCAGGCCCCTAGTAAAAAAATAGACACAGATTTGTTTTCCTCACTTAGTGTAATGTTCATGGACCATTGGTTTTATAATTTACACAGGTTCCTTATCAAACAGTTGGGAGATGTTGATATGAAAAAGTTGACGCATCAAGAGAAACTTGCGTTTTGGATTAATGTACATAACTCACTTGTCATGCACGTAAGGTTTTTTTTTTTTGCCTTTTTTATCTTTTCTAATTTGCGAATTTCTTTGAATTTAGACTGATTTTTGTGTTTATGCCAGACATATTTAGTTAATGGTATTCCAAAGAACAACGGGAAGAGATTCTTGTTATTCTCTAAGGTAAGAAAAGATTCAAACAAAACCTGAGAAAAATGCTCCTTGCTTTCTGATTCAATGCGTCAATTTTTGCAGCCAGCTTACAACATAGGAGGTTGTGTGGTGAGCATAGAGATCTTGCAAAACTCTATCCTTCTCAGCAGAATGCCTTGTCCTCAACAGGTCACTACTTTTCTACCACAATCCTTATAAATTCATAATAATGTGATCCGTCTTGTGAAGAAGCCTATTCTCTCTCTGCTTACAGTGGCTGCGGTTGTTGCTCACCTCAAAAAAACTCCGAGCCGGAGATGACTACCAAGAATACTCCCTCGAGCATCCTGAGCCTTTGTTGTACTTTGCTCTCTGTTCCGGAATTCACTCTGATCCAGCGGTACGTTGTCACATCACAAAAACATTTACATACATATTTATACGATAACTTGACTAATTTTACATCTTATGGGTCATAGGTTCGAGTATATACGGCCGAGAGTATATACCTAGAGCTGGAAACCGCAAAAGAAAATTACATCCGAGAAACAATTCGGTTCAAAAGTGACCATAAGCTAATCTTACCTAGGATCATAGAGTCTTTCAGCAAAGATTCTGGAATGAATCAAGCGGCATTGATGGAGATGATCAAAGAATGTCTATCAGAACCTATGAGGAATACAATCAAGAAAATCAACATGGGAAGATCCCGAAAGAGTAACATAGAATGGATCCCTCACAATTTCCGGTATCGGTATCTGATAGCTAGAGAAGTCATCAAATGAAGAAGTTTAAATTATCTCTGTTGCTTATTTCCCAAGACTCTGTTACTTGTCATGTAAGGCATGAGACATAACAATTAGTCCGTTATCCTTAATCCATATGTAGTCCTAGTTACATCACACACGTATGTTTTTTTTAATACAAGCCCATTAAGCAAAACCTTTTCAGCCCACCAAATACACAGATGGGATAAAAAAGAAAAAAAGAGACCTTAATGTCTTTCGTGGGCTGAAAAAGCTATGCTTAATGGGCTTATTCTTAGCATCTCCTCCAACCGATCCATCCACTTCCTCTGTCTGTCGCCATCTCCGTCGTATTCGACTATCGCCGATCTCTCTCTCCGGTCAAGACGTTATGTCGTCTCGCTAGACTTGTAAACGATCAATATGGATTCTTAAAACTGTAACAAACCGATGGTTCCTTACACGCTGCTACTACCTCTTCGTCCTTCACAAACCGATGATGATATGTGTTTTGTTTGGGACTCAAGTTTTTGTAGCTAACGGTTACTTTTTAAATTAATGACTCAAAGTTTCCTTTTTTCTTGTTTTACCTTTTTCTCTCTGTTCTTTCCTTTTTGTTTTTTGTTTTTCCTTTTCACTTATTATTAGGTTAGGAGAAAGTTCAGAGCAAAACCGAACCTGTGAACACAAAGCTGTTGACGGTTCGGTTAAACAATTAAATTTCCATTTTTTTTTTCCTTTTCTTGTGTGGTTTTGAGAAGAAACTACTTGATTCCAGACATACCAGTAGACAGTAATTGTTTTTTTTAACGTGTGAAACTAAGAATTTTGCTACAGGGAGATTAGGATTCTCAAAGACAGGATAATGCAGAGAGAGACAGAGTCACAAACGCCTGAAGAGAAGAGATTTGTGTGCGTATCTATTATTAACACAAGTACGTACTGTAGTGTTAATTTAACTTAAGTATTGAATTATCTGAATATGGCGTTATGTTAAGAAAACGAAATCAACTCGTTTGAGGTCATATTAATCAACAACTTGAGATCTGTAAACCCCTTCCTAGTAGCCACCTTTGCTAGCTAGCGAGAGAGATATGTGGACACAAAGAATGTAACGATCACTGTCCTCTAGAATATCACAAAGAATATTATTACTGGTAATTCATCTCATGCCAATTCTGGTTGGATGTATTCATAAACGATAAAATAGTGAATTAATACAAAATATTAAAAGAAAATTAGTAAGAGTACATAATGAACGTAAACACACTATCTTTCGAAAAGCTTTTCTTTTGGAATACTCGGATATTTTTTTTTATATACACATGATTAAAATGAAAACTTTTTTTGTCTGTAACAGACATATCTAAATTTCTTCTACCCTGTTTTTCTTTCTTCTTTCCCCCTTTTTTGGTTTTGTATTTATGTGATTTTGTGTAAGAGATATTAGCAAAGCAAAATGATTGTGTCGAGGGCTCGTGGAGGACAAAACTTGGTTACAACCCTACTCTTCCTTCAATTTGGACCATTGCACACAGAGTCCTCGAAAATTTACAAGGCATGCATGATATATATATATACATACAGTATATATGTAAAGCATGGTAACAACTAACAAGCTCATAAAATAATAAATGGATTCAGTCTTGATCAGATGTCATGTATCTATTGTATGTTTCTTAATTCACGTTAATTTTTAGCCGAGTTGGTTTCTCGATCAAACGTTTTGTAATGTAAACTATAGTGTTTGTTGTGTTATCCTTCGCTATATTATTGAGACAGACTTATATTATAATTTAAATATATAAATAAAATAGAAAGAAAAAAATATCATTTAACAAGATGAAAATATCAAGGAATTAATCATCAAAACAATGAATGGAAAACTTTGTCGACATATAGTTGGTTGAACCGACTAAAATCAATTGCGTCAGTAATGTCGGATCTTAAATATGGAGTATATATACACAGTGAATATACTACTACTATATGTGTATAGTATAACATTACTTTAAAACTAGTTCTTAGATCTTTGGGAAAGGCTTGATGAGCTAAAAAGAATCTAAAAAAGAAAAGGCAAGCAGACGATTACAGGATAGAGACAAGAAAACAGTGGATCGAGAAAGCTTAAAATTCTTTCTTGAAAAAGAATGGGAAACAAAACAATACTCAATTCAAACACAGCTATGCATTTTTTGTTTTGTTTTGTTTTGTCAACCTAAACTAAAACGTATTTATAAGTTTAGTAATGAATCATAAATAGATTGGCCAATGGCTACATCGTCGATTACTGGGAAGCTTTGATCAAAAACAGCTGGACTCTTAGTACGAAGAGACTCTAAATACTTACATTTTTGGGTATAATCTCCGGAGAAAACTCTAACATCAAAGGTCATCTTTTAAATTTGATTACCTAGTTTCATAAGAAAAACTTTGAACTCATTAAAATTCTTTGTCAAGAACATAAGTAACGAAGTAATAACAAGTTAAGTGGTAAGAAACTACACACATACATATCAAGTATTCAATTATTATTAAGAGGGAGGCAAAAAGCGAATAAACTGGTCCCTATTTATATGGTCACGCCAACACGTAACTCCATTTTTATAGTCTTATACTATAAAATGATGCTCCAAAATATTATTATATATCCAAACTTCATTTTGATCATATTTACGCATTATACGACCATGTAGTTCTTACTTAATACTAAAAGGATTATTCGATAAATGTTGCGATGAGGAGGTTTTATTGACAAATTTTATTAAAAACTACGATCTAAAAATCAACTAGAATCTATTTTTTCTAAACAGATACGTAACCAAAAATAACAAACTCAGTTTTCTTCTTTTTTTCTTTAAAGAATATAGGCGAAAATATAAATGTGAAATATTGTTAATGTAACATTTATTAACATGTAAGAGCACATTTTTTTTCCAACATAAAACCATAGTATATTTTAATGTAACATATTCGTATTCTTTTATTTTTTATGTTGGCGTCAAATGTATATATGAGTGTATCTATTTATTTTGACTATTATTATTTTGGCGTAACCTTGTATTTTAATTTATCATGCAATCAATCGAAATACCGCGTTACGAGATCTTTGGAACCAGTCACATGTTCCCTTTCTTATCCTTATTTTTTATATTTCAAATAATGAAATAATACTTTACTTATATATCTAAATATTTGAAAAGTGATTCTACCAAAAAATTATTTGAAAAGTGAAATCTAATAGTATAAACTAAATTCTCTACTGATTAATGAAACATAATTAAAATTTTGTAATGTTAAGGATATAATCGTAATTGGACGAGTCAGTTGAGATATCCCAAATAAGAACTTTTTGCCAATATGCAAATTGCATCTTCATTAAATGACTAAATAGGCCCCAACATAATAATAATTTACACTATCCACATATATTTTTAAATTTAAATCAAAATTCCGAAACTACCCTTCACTCCTCTATCGTACTCAACTCCGCCGCGTAACATTTCCTCCTCCGGCTACTACTAAGACTACCGCCACCGTCTACGTTCCTGACTTTCCTCCTTCCGGCGCCGGAACCCACCGTATCATCAGCTGATCCGACTCTCGTCCGACACTTATCGGAGACAATAGGATCAACGCATTTCCGGCGACAACCTCCTCCTCCTCCGCCTCCTCCGCCTCCTCGCATGAGGGCAGAGCTGGCTTTGACGGCCAATGCAGCCATCTCCTCCGCTTTAAGAGGCTGACGAAGCCAACAAAGAGGAAGAGCGAAGTATATCTGACCAAGCTGAAGCTCCTCGTCAGCGCTGATGGCGGAGACGGCGTCGTCGAAGTCCATATCGTCGGAGTTGCATATAAAGCACATGGGATACTTGAGCAAAACGTATCCGACTTTAACGGGGTTGGCAAACTCCATCATCCTACCGTCTTGCAAGATCAGCTTCGCCGTGGCGACCTGAGTCGACTCGCTCGAGCTGCATATACCCATGTGTGTATGTATGTGTGTTAATTTGTAAGGGTTCTTGGTAACTCGGTCTGAGTTGACTCAGTTCTGTTTTGTTGTTTGCTCCGGTGAAATGAAATGAATAACTAATTATGGGAAGAGAAAGGAGAAGGAGAGTTTGTGTTTAAATAGATAGAAAATTGTATGCAGAAAATAAAAGAAAGATGCCACGTAGGATTTTGTCGTGTTGTGGACCAATAGAAGTGATGACAGGCTGTATAAGTGGTGGGGAGGAGGAAGACAGCTTTTGTGTTTCAAAGAGTTTTGCGTTTTGATTTTTATTCCTTTTTGTTGATTTATTACTTACCAATAATTACCATGTCAGGTGGAGTGACTGAGGCTTTGCATGATGAATATACCAAAATTTGATTTCAGTGAAGCAAGACTTTTGTCTATGGTAATACTTAAAAGACTACATGCATATATATATATATATGAAGAAGCCCACCCACTCTAGAAGCGTGGAATAGCTTGTTTCTACGAGTTCATCATCATGAACTCACTCGGCTCTTTTTTGGTTTTGTTAGTAATAAAGCTTTGTCGTGGGGGTTTACGAAATTTAAGTTGAAAATTGAATTTCCCGATTTAATGTAAAAAACTATTGATGACCCCCCTATTGGCTAGGTTACAAATTTAAACGCAATACTCGTTCCCCAATTTTTGTATTATGTTAAATTTTATTGATCTTTCTTTGTCACTTTTAAATCTCTGATTTTGATTGGCCTCTGTTGCTGTCGGATCCCTTTAAATGTAAACTATAAAGTCAGTTGGTTATAATACTATTTACATATATGTACGTATGCTTATATAAATTCACCGTGTGTTTTATTTCTACTGCAAATACGATACTTATTTAGAGCTTCATTTATGATTTAACAAATATATTAGTTGTAGTATTTGGTTTGGTTGGTAAGATATATATGTACTGAATGAATGGTAAAGATACCAAGTAGTTAAGTGTTGTGTTATCGATCTACCTACTAAACCAATGCGGAGTTTACTTTTAGTAATAATTTACTACCATAACTCATTATCGAACAAAGCCGTTTAGTTTTGGTAATTAGCTAAAAATAAACTAGTATAAATTTTTTTAATACCTAATCTTTTCAGGTGTATTATGTTTTCATATTTCGATGGTCTAACTGTTGAAATATTTTGATCTAGTTACTTGTTTCAACTATTTATTAGTTTGGCTAATTAATTAGTAGACAAGCAAATGAAAAGGTTTGTTAAAGTATCACAATTATTTTAAATCTACCAGTCGGACTTAATTATCATCATAGAAATAAGAAGGCAGAGAGAGTTTAATTTGCTTACGTTGAGACGTTGATGTCAACATTGATGAACATCCTAAAATACAATGAATTTGATTGGTGGTGGTGAAGAATTAATTTTAATACTAAGCGTGATGATAATGACTTAAGCTAAATAGAGTAATAAGCATATTTGTTGGGGGCGACCATGGTTTTACTATTTTTGCATGTAGAATTTGTTGCGGTTTCGGTCTTTAGCCTAGTTGCGTAAAGGAGACTACTACTTACTTTATCTTTCTAATTTCGTGTGTAGAGGAATTTAACCCAATCTAAACAAAAGGTGTGAGAAAACAATGGCATATCTTAGTAATTAAGATTAGAGAGAATGGTGTCAACAAACTAGTTTGTATTTATTATATAAATTGAATATGCTGATAAATACTGTCAGTTATCGATTTAAAAAAATATACTAATGTATATGCCTATAAGCAATAACAACTTTCATTAATCGTTCGATCATGATTAATTACCAGTCAATGAAATTGTTTTTCATATTGATATAATAAATTTGCTTGGATACAAGGAAAAAAAATGTATAAATATAGAGATACGTAAACAATAGGTTCACAAAAAAAGAAAAGAAGAGATACGTAACAATAGAAACGTGGCCATAGCGCTGAGAGTGGCAGAGGAGTAGTACGTGTCTAATTCTGGAGCAGCCACGTGTCGTTCTTCCGGGCCATGAGATGACACGTACCGTTACATGAGTTCCACAAAGAATCCGACAATGTTTTCAGTGGTGATGATGGCGTAAGTAAACTCGTATTTGTTAGTCCATCCCTGCTTGCTCGGTGACATCTATCTATCGTTGTTTGTTTCTTGCTTCTTCCGAAATAGTTTTTAAAATAGTTTATATCTATATGATTCAGAATAATGTCTAGTAGTCAAAAATTATATGGAATGGGAATGGTGATGATGATGGGTCAATATGTGGTTAATTTGTCAACTATGAGAACGATTATGCCAACCAGAGATGACAGTGTTGCTGCGGTGTTCAGCTAATAGTATTTATATCCTTTTCATGGTCAAACGACCGCTCTAAGTTTAGTAATAAATTACTGAAAACTGATTAATAATCCATCGTTTACAAGCTGAAATCAATCATATAAACTCTTCATTAGTATAAATTAAAACTATATAGAACATAATAATCATCAACATGTTTTCTTCGGCATGCATGTTGTAATACTATTTGTTTTCCGTAGAATATAGTCATATATAAATGTATATAGTAAATAAAATCCACCGTATACCATTGTCTTATCTCATTGTTTCACTATATATGTTGACATTACCCTTTCATATGTTACTAGGTACTTTTCCATTTATTTAGTTACATTTTTTTTCTTCCCAAAGACTAAATGGTCCTGATTTCTTCTGCTTTATTTGTAATAGAAGGACATGTTTTTCTCTCACGACACAATTTATAGTTGAGTTTGGTGAAAATACAGTATGTTTTAACAATTGGGGGATTTGTTTAAGCTCGACTGTCGAAGTAATGCTTGTTAGTTGTACTACAATCATAACCTGTGTGTTTTAGTTTTGTTGAACAAAATAATGTCTCTTTTTCTGTTATAGATACTTGTGTCGTAATAACGTGTGATTATTGTTTATTTTATTGGACATTTTTCTTCTGTGATTTATATCGTAAATTAGACATATGAGTTGCGATAAATAACTATAATTATGAAGAAAAAGAAAGAGAGAACGTCACATGCTCCATGCTTTTGTATGAAGCTTCATGGCTTTTGTATGAAGCTTCATGGATGCTCCCCTCTCACGGTCTCTCACCCCACATTTTAGAAGATTGAACCAATTATTACCTCTTTGACTCAACCAAAAATGCTTTATTCGACGACTTCCAAAAACTTTATGTTATACTTTTACTTATCTTATACTAATATTATAGTTTCCACTAGGAAATTAAACCGACCATGGATAAAAAGATTTGTCCCGACCATAATACACATATCTCAATAAAGAAACAATATTCTGGCTATAGGTGTTTACGTACCAATCTGCAGTTTTGAATTGAGATGGTCTGTTGTTCTTTTGTTGGCCTCCATATATATACCCGTTAACATTTTTTTTTTTTTTTTTTTTTTTTTTACTTCAGTTTACAAAATCACGTGCAAAATATATCTTGTAAAATTTTAGCTATGCCCTTACAGAAAATTCTAAACTCAACTAATTTTGGGTTTCTTTAGTTATGATTGTGTTTGTTGTTTGTCTGATCGTGGAGGTGGAAATTTTCCCGTTTAACATGTGCATATGTACACTTTTTCGATGCATTTATGAAGTTCATATAAATTCTTTCCTCCAATTTGTATTTACATCGTAGTAATTAATATTAACCGAATAATAAAAAATAAATAACACTCATGGCGCGTCCATGCATGTGTTTATAAGTCCACTTGTATAGTATATAAAGCATATTATACATTCTAAACATACTGTACTTAAAAAAGTTATTATTCTAAAGATACATATACATTATTGATGCATCGATCGTATGACTTCTTTATCTTACAAAACTATATTTAAAAGTTAATTTGAATGGGAAAATATCCATATGCTGAAAATAATTATTTTATTTTAATTAAAAGATATGGTTCACACGATATAAGGGAATATATTTGATTTTTCATGGTTTTTGTATAATTTATATGCTTGTTTTTATACGATAGTGGGACGACTCCTTCTTTTTGTACAATAATTTCTTGTTTTGTTCTTTAGATTCATTGAAAAAAAGCTCATACTTGTCATTACCATGAAACTTCCCATCTCTGAACTTCCATAGAAATTTAAAATCAAAGGTTTCATCATCATGCAAGGTTGTCTTGGGTCCCTTAATCTTTTAATTACTTTTGAGGGCTTAGGAAATTTTCATAATTATGGTTCATAAAAGTATCAACTATTAATAAAAAAAGTATCAAGTATTATTATGTTGGTCTTGTTTTTTTGGAACAGTCTATATATGCACATGATTCACTATCCTTATATATAATGTTCAGAATAATATAGTTTTTCTATATATAGTTTTGTGTGTAAACAAAATTGCTGAACACTAGGTCTAAAAAGGTTGTGAAATTTTGTTTATATGCAATTTTGCCATTCGGGTTTGATTAGTTTATAACACACATAAAATTTTGGTTATGTGATTTGATTTGGGTATCCAGGAAAATCTGTTAGAAACTTGCGTACGGAGAAGACATGAATGTGTAATGTGCATGCACTTGAACAAGCCGGTGCCTTTAATACGACGACGAACATTTTAAAACTCCATAAGTCGATTCTCATTTATAAGCAATGAAATAATAATCTATTATTAATAAACTAATTAATTTGATTCATCTGTATGTATGCTAATACATGATAAATACTTATTTGAATCCAGACATTTGCAAAACTCAATGAGATCAGACACTTAGGATATAGTTTAGATCTTCATGTCTCCCACATTTTACATAATATATATCTCGTTATTCAACAGTACGAACAGATTAACCTATATTATAAAATGGTAATTTAACAAATGAATTCATACATTTTGCTCAGGTAATTCAAATCAACTAACACTTTGTTATCTGACGTCTAGATCATGATTTATATTTGAATTAAATAGTTCAATATTATATTGGTTCAAGTTAAATATTTCAGTGTAAACAGTTGATATTTGCGAAAATGTATACAGTACACTACAGATATTGAAATTACTTTGGATATAGTTTGGTACTTTCTTCATAATTGTTTTCAAATTTCACCCTACTATATAGACTGAGTTCTTGATTAGTGATTTTGCTGTAGAGCATAGTTTGATTATTAAGTTGTTGTGGAGAGATCCATGTGCAATGCTGCAACGAACAAGCCTTACAAATTACAAAAGATTTACTTTTATTAAACGTCAAAATTGTTACAGTTAAATGATTACAAAGGTTTCCTATATAAATACAGTGTTCTAATGGGACATCCGACATGACCATTTACTATTTACTATTCAATTTTTTTTTTTTTTTTTCAAATTTAACATACATAAGATATGTACATAGATATTATATACATAAAGAAAAATTATTTTAGCTACCCATGCATGATGATTTGTGCATTTTGAGAAACAATTCTAATGAAAAACAAAAAGAAAATATCTAGACCAAATACAAAAGGTGAATATAATATAATGAAGAAATGTAACTAGTGAGACATTAGAGAAGGAAGGAGAAGAAAATTAAAGAAAGTGGAAGCAAAAGAGAGAAACGAAGACAACAACGCCATCGTCGCCGATAACTTATACCGATCACACTGCTTCTCTCCTGCGCCGATCAAAAGCACGGCCACGCTTGCCGTCGAGCATGCACCTCCCAGCGACAAAAACGATAAAACCTGAACATATATTAGTATATAATGAGCAAATCAATCATTTAATCTTTTTACTAATTAATTACACATTTTTCCTGTTTATTACTTATTAAATAATTTATATAAATTAACAAGAATTGGTGTCCTTTAAAGAGCCATAAAAAAATTCACATAGTCTAGAGTCTAGTACCACCAAACAACAAAGATATACAAGTTGATGTACCCTAGTGATTTCGCAATCCTGACTAAGAAAGCAAAGACTAGTGATCCATATTCCTCTGCTTATATTGCAAACAGATATTTTCAGATGCTCATGATGATCTACCGAGATGTTATGACAGAGTCTGATGGGTCATCATCATCAGCTTATTCTGGTTTTGATATGACTCGTTTTACATGAGTCAATTCAATATCAATCAATGATCATTTTTAGATTCAACATGACCTAGTAGTGTTTCTGCGGTTTGAATTGTAGTTAACCTCCTGATATTGCTTTGGGACCTAACTTTGATAGAACAAAATCAAAACTTGACCGGTACAAAACATCGTTGGACAGGTGAACTACAAAAGTTTTGGCCTACTACAACTTCTATAACATATAGTCGACCACACACTCCTGAATCACCAAAACTAAAAGTGGAGTCTAAGTTAAATTAAACAAGAAACAAAAAGTAAATAACAACTTTTGCATAAGTATTGTTACACCGGGACCATTCATTACAGTGGAAACCATTATTAGATAGACTATTAAGTTGGTGTATAGCCTAAAAGCTTTATCCTTTCATGGCTAATGTGATTTGGATATCTATCCATATTTCTCATATATGAATGATATGGTCCACTACAGATATTATAGTGGGAAAGGATATATATAAGCAGAAAAGCTATAATATAAAGTTGTGGAATGTATTATAATTTGAATAGTACTTGGATTTTTATTTTGATAGGAACCAATCAAAAATATTATCTACCTCCACTATGTCTATGTCACAATCAGCTCATCTTGTAACGCATTTTCTAAACAATTGGTTCATTTGGAATACTGTTTGACAGAAGAAAGCAATTTAGTTTCTAGCTAGTTTTGAACCTAACACAAAATACAGTGGATGAATATAGCTACGAAGGTTATATAAAACACAAAGATAAACTTACAAAATCTCCAGCGGCAATGACAGATATAACTGTTGCTTGCATAGGAAGGCGTTGGATGATGATGGAGTAAGCGTCCATTAGGGCTAACGTCGCGCTCCAAGGTGTCACTAGACCCATGACTGTAACTAAATAACTGTTCCACAACATTCATAAAACTGTCTTATTATTCAATACTTGTCTTCCAAATTTTGAAAGAAAGATTCTGTTTATTACCAGAAGGCAGTGTAAGCATATAAGTCTTCGTCATCGTTAAAGCACATAAAAAGAAGCGAAGCAGAAGAAAAGAGAGTTTGCCCGATACGAAGAACAAAGCTTGAGGTGGTTCCAAACGACGCCGTTCTAACCATCTCCGCCCTTGTTATCGTCTCTCTTCCTCGTCATTGTTACCTTCTTCTATCTTCCATCGCTGAGTTGTACACAAGTTTTGAACTTTGAGAAGCAAAAGAAAACAGAATCAAGAAACAGAGCAGAGGACCTCTGTTTTTGAGACAGGGGAAGTGAAAAAACACAAAGTAGATGTGACAATAATAGGGGTCATAAGGCATATGGTTTTGCTTAATTATGAATCTCTTCTTACTTCTTAACCAGAAATCATCTTGCTCTTACCAAGCAATTATCCAGATCTACAAATATGATATCTTAATCCGTAATAATTAGTCTCTTTTCATTGCAATAATTAGTTTGTGATTAAAGCCAAAAGTGCAACAGCTAAACCATAAAGTGTTACCTAATGGCTAATGGAGTTCCACATGTGCTACGGACTGGTATCAATATTCTTTTAATCATAACATTTACAGAAAAAGAAAACAAACAGATTCTATAGATAATCTATGTTTTATTTATTACTCAAGTTGCGCATACCACATTCCTTGGAGCTTGAGACATCCTTAGGAGTCTTAGCTCCCAAATCCAGTATTCCAAAACCCTAATATGTGAATCCATGTTCATGTGATATGGTTGGTCTAGTGCTTCAGTCTAACAAAAGACTGATGACGTGGATATGAAGAGAAGCCTCTAATTCACTTAAAGTGTTTGCAAATGAGAAGTTTCGGAAGTATAAAGTAAGGGAGCTATGTTGTTCTAGCGATGTGCTAGTGAGACAGAGTGACGTGCTCTAGTTTCTGATCAGTTGGGACTTGTGAGTGAGAGAAGCTAAACGATTTTTGTTTGTCGTTGGGGAATTCTGAAACCTAACATCATATATGTTCCTCAAATTATTAAACTCTAAGGAGCAACTAGACTGTAAAAAGTTGGAGTGTTCTTTGTCATCAAAGAAGGAAAGGATTACTCCTCTCTGATTTGTCTCTTTTGTGAGATTTGAAGTGTAAAAGTATTATCAAGTTCCGTCTTATGCCACATGGCTACTTATTGTTTGTCATCAAAGATTCTGCATCTGGGATTGATTCTAGTAGAACAATTTACGGTATTAAAACGTCGTGCATTACACTTTTGGATATGAACAACGGCACGTAGTTCATTGTAAGGAGATGACTGAAAAATAGTAGACTAGAAAAATAAAGATCTCATTCAGCACACAAACCAATATACAAACTCATATATCTTACAAGGCATCACATTTACAAGATAGAAAAATAAAATAAAAAATCTTACAAGTCAGCTCAACTGAAACTTCTTATATAAAAATAAATGCAAGACTTTCTCAAACACAAATGCTTCTAATAAAGAAATTAGACAAATCAAACGTTGAATAAGAACACTCAAGACTACAATTGCCAATGGGGTTGGAGGGTGGCTTAATTAGAAGATGTGAAGAAATATGGTCCAAATTGGGTAAACGAGGAGGGCAACGATCCCAAGGGTATTGGAGATTCCATGCTTCTCGGTAAAAGACTTTTTGAATCCACCTGAAGCTTTAATGTGTTCATGGAAAAGGTAACATGCTATTACAAGACATATTACTGCCCCAACCCAACTTTCCCTTAGTGTCCCAGCTATGAGGCTCGGTGCAACCACTAGAAGAAGAATCAATGCTGCAGGAATCTCTAGCCAATCTATATGTTTTAAAATAAACAAAGTTCTAAGATCAAAGTTTCGTGATTATACAGTTGGAACTCAAAACTAGGGTCTAGTAATCTGACCTGGAAACTGTTTAGGGAAGAAAAGTCTTATAGTGATCGCGATGAGAGCAATCCATTTCCCAAAATCTCCGCTGTAAAATGAAATATACTATTGATTACATTTTCAAAAGAAGTCCATATGATCATTTTTGAAGAGTTGTTTTTGATTATACCTAAAGAATTGGAAGATAACCGAAGGAAGTGTGAAAAAGATGTATGGCACTAAAAGGGTAGTCAACATTTTGGTTCTCCAATTGGTCCGATCCAATATCAAGAGATAACTGTCAAAACAAACAGATATGAATCATCATCACAATGTAACAACCAAACAAAAAAATAAGAAGTTACAATTGGTTTGGTCTTTTTGGCTCACATGGCGGAGAATGAAGCGGCCCATTGGAGGAAAGACGTGCCAAAGCCTAACCCGCCGAGCATCCCTACGTCTTTCACGAGCTTCTTTGTAGCGGCAACGAACTCGTCCAGATCGGAATTGATCAGGTTCGCCGTCGTCTCATCTGAAGTCTTCATGGCCAAATACTCAACCCTTCCCATTTTTGTAAGTTTAATTTTTTTTTTGTGAATTGTGAATGTAGTAATGTCTCTCTCTCAGACAGCAGAGTATTTATAAACCAATCACAAAACAAATTCGCTGGCTATTCTTTGAAATTTTCAAATGTGATTATTTTGTTAATTAAATCATAAAATGTATTTTTAGTTACTATAACTTCTATTGCGATATATCTCGAGGCTAGAGCTGCTCGCCACGTAGGCTTCGCTGGTGACACTGACAGAATTGACACGTGGCTTTCCCAAAGGGTCTCCATTTCATATACAGCTCATCGTATCTCCAAAATACATAAGCGAAATTTTCAACTAATCATATAAAATTTTGGATTTTAGTTCTACAAGTAACACACTTTATTAAGAACGAAAGGATATCCTCTTATCCGTTAATTATTATTATAAAATTATTTGATTGATACCCTAAAAATAAACAAATGCCTAATCCAGTGAAGTGAAGTGACACATACACACCTCAGCAGATGATTATCAGATATTGTGCCAATAAGATTCCGTAACAAGAAGTAAGGAAACCAAAGCTCTCCAGCGATTAAAAAAGTTGGCAAGTACGGACCCCATTACAGTGAAAGAACTTGAAAATCTAGTATTGGAAAAACATTCATGAGGAGGATTCCCTAATGTTTTTTTCTCAGATTTCTTCGATTAAAACTTCAGTAGTACTAGAAATTTCTATACCTTTTCCTTCACCTTCAAGAAGAGTTTCCATCTGCTTTGTCTGATGGCCCAGTAGCTGGTTTCTTTGATGCACTTGATTCTATGGAGGTTGCATTCATCAGAACTCTTTTCACTCCTCTTCCAACTACACCCAAATGAGTTACACCTGATGATGCTCCTCCTCCTGCTGCCGCACCGGTGTGAGCAGTTGAGACCGTAGGTGACTCTAAATCTTTCCCGAAATTGGTATTCGCAGTTCCCATCCTAGAAGAGCTCATTTCAGCAGCAGCAGGAACAGCCTCTTCACTAGCCTTTTCACTAGCCTTAGCCGATACCATCCCCATTAGCTCAGCAAGAACTTGCTTTGGGTTCTCTGCTTGTTGTTTCAAATCCTCAAGCTACAGAAAACAAATGTTGGACATTAGTATGGGTTTGGAAGTTTTTTTTTCTAATGAAATGATGATTTAGTTAAGTTAACTTGCCTTCTTTTCTAGATCTTCAGCGAGACCAGCCATGACTTCGATCTCAGCTTCTTTGTCTGAAGTAGATTTATCAATGTAGGGAACATTGGATGACTGTTGGATGCCTTCATCTATTTCAGAGACGGTTGAGGAAGTTGCTGATCCAGATGCACCTTTGATCTCGTTACTGAGCCTCTCCATCCGTGCTTTGCAAATTAACATAGCCTTCTGACAGTATGGCATTGCTTCTTTTGGCTGACATCCAGTCTCTAGACAAATGCAAATACGGAAGTTTCTGAAACGTTTAAGTTAAGTTTATTTAACCCAAGAACTCAACTGACAGAAATGAAAAATGAGATACAATTTAAGAAATCAAAAGGATACAATTCGGCTGTGTGTCGACTGTCAGGTTCAACCAGACGCTCTAAGATGGACAATGCTTTCTTGTAGTCACTCAGGGAAGACTCAATGTCCTCTGCATAATAAACAAACAACTCAAAATCGTAATAGAGAAAACTGAAAGGAGGAAATGGAGCATAACAAAGGTGATACAAGAAAGATATAAGGTATACCTCTCTCCAAGGAAATTTCAGCAAGCGCACAGAGTATATCCACTTTTACCATTGTATCAGCAGACTGTTTGTCAGTAATAGCCCTTGCAATATCCAGCATTTTCCAGGCCATATCCAAATCAGAATCATCTTCATCACCATCAGCATCGGATAGGTCATCATCATGACAATTTTCACCATCCTCTCCTTGCTCTATACCACCAGCACCTATGCATGAGGGAGAAAGAGTGACAGGCGAAGGTCAGAAACTTTTACATCCACAATCAGTCTATATAACATCAAGAAACAAAGAAGCAGTCGCATCTCATAAGGTTAAACGAGGACAATTTTCATTACCTTCTTGCCCACTTGAACTCCCTTGTCTCTCCGGGTTACTTGAGACAACAGATGCGGCCAACGATTCACCATTCACAGTGTTCTTCACAGAATCATCTTTACTGCTGGACTCTTGCTGAACTTCACCTTCTTTCTTAGGCACGTTGCCAAGGGGATCAGCTTCAGCTTGAGCCTTTTCCAGAAGAGCTGATCCATAGCGATAGTATGCGTTCACACACTCAGCATCAAGTTCACCATAGTGTTCAACCCTAAAACAAACCAACAAACGCACCAAAGTATCATTAGATCCTAAATCCTAAGAAGAGCAAATTTTAGAAAACTCAGTCCCGGAGATACACAATTGAAACCTGACTAGAAACCCAGAACCATGATTAGATCGTTCTAGCCAAAAACTAGACTGAAAATCTCAGATGTGAATCGGAAACATACGAAACCCTAAACCCTGGATTGAGTTTCTCCCCAACAAATTCGTGAGAATGCAAAACGATACCTGATCTCAAGGGCACGGCTGAAGCAATCGACGGCTTCACCGAAATCTTGCTCTTTCAAAAACACAGAGCCTTTCTCCGTCAACTCATCGGCGAACTCAATCGTCTTCTCGCGCTCCACATCACAAACATCAGTGGCAGCACTATCGGCGGCGTTGTTGTTGTTGTTGTTACAGGTGGACTCAGTGCCTCCCTGAACAGCCGATTCAACGGTGGCTTCGATTGAGGCTTGGTTGGGTTCTAGGGTTTGGATCACAGGCTCGGTTAGGGTTGGTACAGCCTCCGTCACGGAAGCTTCCGATGCCGAAGCTGCTTCTTCAACCATGGCGTGATTCGTGGGTGAATTTGAAATTAGAAAAAACAAAAAATGACAAATTTGCTGGGAGCAGTTTGTCGCAAAACCCTCTCTTCGCTTTTTGGCGGACTTGAGCGAAAAAATGGAAACCCAAAAAAAACAAAAGATATCCCCAGAAATTTATTTGTTATTACTTTAATAGTAAAAAACGCATATGTTATCTTAATTAGGTAAGGTCTCGCTAACTTGCACCGATCTTGTGATTAATTTCCATTTTATTTTGCCTAAATATTAACAAAAAAGGAAACTATATGATATTTCCTCTTTCTTTGCTGGTGCGTAATTATTTTTTTCCTTACAGCTAAGTTTTTAATCAGACATAATTTTTCAGTGTGAATTTACGTTTAATTCACTGAGTGAGACCATTAGTCAAATTTTAGATCATTTTATTTTGTCCGCGAAATAAGTTACACTTTATTAATGTGTGGTTCTAATAGCTTAGCTGGACGAAGAAGCTATACTACGATAATAACGATCTGATGAATACTTTTGTATTCTGATATTCAACAGTTTTGATCTATCCATCTCTCTCTCTCGACGATGGCTCGCTTAGTCTTTTCTCTAAATCTTCCATCTAGTCATGGATTCAATCTCAGTCCTCGACATCATCAACCTTTATTCTTCACCCAAACGGGAGCTCCACGATTTCGTGCTGTTCGTTGCCAACCAAACCCAGAATCTTCCGAACCGCAGGTTCAATTTTCGATTTTTTTGTTTTCATTTTCAAATGGGTCGACGGCGAATTAGCTAAAGGTCTAAGCTTTTTCCTATTTCAGGAGAAATTGGTCGTAGATAATGGTGAAAACTCAGCTGCGCCGAAGGAAGTAGAATCATCTTCTTCTTCTTCGGGGTTCCCTGAAACTCCCAATAAGGATATCAATCGAAGAGTCGCGGCTGTTACTGTAATCGCGGCCTTGTCCTTATTTGTATCGACAAGGCTCGATTTTGGGATTTCTTTGAAGGATTTAACCGCTTCAGCGTTGCCTTACGAGGAGGTTTTTTTGTTTTGGATTCTTTGCTCTGTGTTTTTTTTATCTCTTAAAATGATTGTTTACGATTGCTTAATGGTTTTTGTGAAATGGATATTGTTAGGCTTTGTCAAATGGGAAGCCGACAGTGGTAGAGTTCTATGCAGATTGGTGTGAGGTTTGTCGAGAACTAGCCCCTGATGTTTACAAAATCGAGCAGCAATACAAGTAATGGTCTTTTATGTGCTTTTTCATCACAATGAGCATGCTAGATCTTTGAAGATTCTAGTTGTAGAAGCAACACTATCTTTTCTTGGAATGGATTTAGCTATGTAGAACCTAGAGCTTTGAAGATTATTGTTGTTGTAGAAGAAACCTAATCCTGTGTTTGTTTAATGGATTAAGGAACTTATTTAGGATTTGATTGGCTATAAATATAGTTGGTAATGAAAAAGCTAGAGCTTTAAAGATTCTAGTTACAGTAGCAAACCATTACTCTCCTGTTAGTTTAGTCATTAACGGAATATATTGTAGGCTTTTAGACACTAATCTGACATTTTCTAGGTGAAAGTCAAAGTCTTTTTTGTGTGTGTTAATGTCAGGTTGACTTGTGGTATTGTGGTTTGCAGGGACAAAGTTAACTTTGTAATGCTTAATGTCGACAATACGAAATGGGAGCAAGAGTTGGATGAGTTTGGTGTTGAGGGTATTCCTCATTTCGCCTTTCTAGATAGAGAAGGGAACGAGGAAGGTAATGTGGTCGGGAGGCTCCCGAGACAGTATTTAGTTGAGAATGTGAATGCGCTTGCATCGGGGAAGCAATCAATTCCTCATGCCAGAGCCGTGGGGCAGTACTCAAGTGCGGAAGCTCGTAAGGTGCATCAGGTTACTGATCCCTTAAGCCATGGATAGAGAGTGTGGCCATATCTTGGATGTAGCAGATGATAGTAGTTGTTTCTAACTCTATAGTGCACAAAAGAAGTAGACAGGAAGGAAAAATTGGAAAAGTAGCAATGTTTCAAATTGATCAAAAGAAGTAAATGTTGATACTTTTGGGGTTGATATCTGTTTATTCTGGTTTGACATTGCTTGTCTCCTATGCTTCCAATTTCAACTCGCCGCAATTGCTTGAATTTCGCTCAAGCTGCTTACATGAAGTACATAAATAAATTCAAAATATAATATCGCAGACACAGCAAGAAGAAAAAGAAAAGAATTGTTTATAGCAATAAACGAGTTTGGCCAGAAAGTTATAAACCAACAAAAAAAAAAAACTTTAGAGATGATGATACAACAGATTTGTATTAAGACATAAGTTAAAACTCTAATCTGAATCAGAAGATTCGAAAAACTGAGGATTCAGCTCAGACACCATTTTTGACAGACTCTCCCTCATTTCCTGCAATTCTTCTCTCCCAAATCCCCATGTCCTAACCACATCTGATCCCATGGCTCCCCATTGGATCCCAAGTTTCTCTAAATTCCCCATTCTATTTTCCAAAAAGGGCAAAATCGCACTCGAGGATCTCCATCTTGCTGCTATGGGTATGGAGTGAACATCCAGTGAGCCTCTGTACAGCGCATCCGACACCGGACTGCTCAATATCTCACCTTTTCTCCCAACAAGGTTTCCAAATATAGAAGGAAACGGTAACGGTACTGGAAGGGGACACCGTGAAACAGATAGACTGCAAAACAATGGTTTTGTTTTGGTTATTGCCTGCTCGTAAGATGCATCAACCGCATTCTTCACTTCTGAAACTGATGCTTCTTTATCTTCTGATCTAAGGGCTCCAAGTATACACATTGATTCAACCGCTTGATTGTCTTCTATATCTTCAGTTACTTCCGGCGTTAACGCCTGCAAGTTCGTTAAAAGGGTATTCTCTAATTGCTTCCCTGCTAATGGAGGAGCTGGCATTGCAGATTCTAATATCGCCACTATGTTTTGTCTTCCACGTCCCGTCAAAAGCTGTACAAGTGTATTAACATCCATAGAACTTGACACTTCACTTGAATCTGAGCTAGAGGGTCGCATTCGGAAAGGGATTGTGCTAGCATGTAGAGTGGCAGCGTACACTGCACTGCTTCGATAAGGTTTCTCATCACCAAGATTAAGAAACTTTGACGCCTTACCTTTAAAAAAAATACACAAAAGATACACAAAAAAAATCAAATCAGTAGTTGCCTTGGGAGAAAATCAAAAGATTTGTCAATGAGAGTTAGGATGTTGCATACTTCCGGTCAAGGATGGTAAACCGATTGGAGTGAAGAGTTTACAAAAGGATGAGAGTCGAGAAAACGATATCGCATCGTGAAGCTTGTGTGAAACTGTCTTTTTCGGGGTCATCTGTGACATTGGACTCCTTACGGAATATAACAATACAGGTACATTCGTGTACTCATCTGCCATGCTCTCGAGGAAATCCGCTGCTACAGCGGAAAATCCTCCCGAATCATCCACAAGGAACTTGATACCCTGTATTAATCATTAATATATATTATTGTTTAGAAAGTAAAAGAAGTTGAAGAAGAATTGAATTGATATGGGTCAAGCTTGACCTGAATATGATCACACTCTTCCACGAAAAAACGGAGTCTGTCACATATTTCCTCTCCCCGTGAAGCCTCAGAGAAAACATCTTTACCAATTCCGTAGTTGTTGAAATCCTGAGGGTCCATCCATAATCCATTCAACTCGTATAGACTTTGAGGATGATAATGGGATTTGGAGAAGTCAGTCCAGCAGTCAACTCCCTCATCTAAGCATCCAACAATATCTTTGTCCTCAATTTCTTTCCCCTCTTTAGGTTCTTCCTCATACAAACTTTGCAGAAACAAGTTCCTCTTTCGAGGTTCAGATCTCTGAGTATCAACATCTCCAAACCTACAAGACACATAACGGATATTAAACTAATGCGAACTTGGAGATTCGATCATATCACCCTAGTGAAAGAACAAGCCTTTTTACTCTAACTCAATTAAGTATTCTCTAAGATTCAATTCCCCTAAACCATGTACAGGAAATATCTACCAACGCAGAAACTTTATAGCAATTCTGACCAGGTTGTTGAAGAGTCTGATCTTGATGAAGAACCTTCGTTGTAGAGGGTACCACGTGAGCTCATGGTGCCTAGTGACCCTAGAAAAGCGAAAAGCTTTAAGATGTTAACATATAACAATTATTTCTAGTATATATCAAAACCAGACACTTTCTTGTCCTAAATTCGTTCAATAGAATACAGTAATCATGAAACAGAGAAAACTAAATTCTGTATCCTAATGTTATACTCATATATCTTAACTCAAGCTAGTTTGAAACTGAAAACACATGAAATTCTCAAGCTAAGATTAATACCTTTTAAGTTGACTGAAACCAGACGAGGAGTGTAAGTAGCAACCCCCTGGTTTAAATTTCCACCAAACAAATGAAATGTTGAGATATACAAAAACAAGTGAGATTGATCACAGTCAACGAAAATTTCAATATCTCACCTGCAGAGTCTCACCGGAGCGGTAGAGAACGTCCATGTTGAGGTTATGGTTTCGAAAGATTGGATCGCTTTCTGGGTCACTCGCCAGTCCAAGCAGCTCATCCTACATTTCAAGCAAAAAGTCTTCAACTTTAGGAAAAACAAAAAGATCAAGGCTTTTGTAGTGAAAATTAAAGACAAAACAAAACCCAGAATCTAAATTAATCGGAATCTGAGCTGAGGAGATCATTGGGAGGTTTTGCTTCAAACCTGGAAATTCCAAAAGTGGGAGCCGACGAAGTTTGCGAATTCACCAACTTGAATCGTAACGATTTCTCTCATGGTTGTCTAATAATTGGAGTCTTGGAGACTTGAAAGAAGCTGACAGAAAAAGGTCTGTTCTTAGCTCACGGCGTAAGAGCTCCGGTGATTGCTTAAACCCTTCAATGTCGCCGAGCCTTTAGATTCGGATAGGCCTGGGCATAAAATCCGAATCCGAAAATCCGAACCGAACCGAACCGAAAAAATTGGATTAAAACCGAACCGAGATTGGAAAAATAACCGATCGGTTGTTAGCTTTCATTATTTTTGGATATCGGATTAAACCCGATCCGAACCGATATCCAATAGATATCCATATATAACCGAACTTATAATATATACTTTAATATCTTTATGATATATACGTTTACCGCATATCGGATTAAAAGTTATTTTTAATTGATTTTAGGATGTTACTGAATTTTGCTACTTTTTCATTAGGAATTTATGGTTTAGTTTGGTTTATTTAAAGCTCTTATGCATCGACACAGTTTTATGCTTCACTTTTATATATTGGTATGGTATTATGTTAGTTGGTTCTTTGAACTTGTCATTTACCTCATTTCTATTTTTTATATATACTTGGATAGCATGGATTATTTGAGAATAATTGGATTTAAAAATATCCGAATAAAACCGAATCCAATAAATTTTGGTTAAAATTTAATTATCACAATTATATCCAAACCGAACCGAAATCCGAAATATCCAAACCAAAACCAAACCGAATTTTATAAATATCCGAATGGATATTAGAATCAATATCCAAAAAATCCGAAAACCGAAAAATCCGAACCGAACCCGATCCGATATCCGAACGCCCAGGCCTAGATTCGGAAAGCGTTTGTAAATTAACCCCAAATAAAAAAAAGTATGAATTTTTTTATGAAGGTGTGGGAGATGTGGCCCGTGAGGCCCAGACAAGTGACCACCTGATTGTAGTCAAAAATATTCGGCGTAGCTAAACCGGTTGTGGTTAGAAATTAAACCAAAATCAAAGCTAAATTGGTTGTAATTCATACATACAATATATACAACTATCAAACTATAATAGTTTCTTTTTGCTTGATATAGCTAAGTAGCTTATAAGATATTTTACGAATAAAGAACATGAACCCTAACGATTTATGGTTGCGTCAACAAACGAATTCTTCGAAGTCAAAAAGTATTTTGCGTTAAAAAGTCTTTGAACATCGCTTAAATGTTTTCATAACATAGTCCCTTAAGCCTAATGGTGAAAAGCTATTAGACTAATTAAAGTGAATCAAAATTTAAAGATCACTATTTCGAAAATAAAATAATATCTACCCTATATGGGCTCTTTGTACATGGCGCAAGAAGCTATTATTACACAAACCATGCAAATCTCGTGGAATTAAACTACATCAAACCAGTGAGTTGATTTTTTTTTTTTTTTCTGCATATAAATATAAAATTTTCAATAGTGAAAAAATTCGTTATCTTGTCGTTTTTAAGAGAAAAAATCTTATCTTTTCGTACGATTTTTATGCAATAAAAGATTCTTATTTAATTCTCCACCTTCTTATTATTTTCAGAGTAGGTAGATAGAAAGAAAACGATGCCTTACAAAGAAGACAAAGATTGTGACTTTCTTCATCTCTGTTTTCCAAGGTAAAAAAGTAATTAACTATGAACTTCGATTTACTGAGTTGGTAAAACTAATCATATGACAAAATCTTTGATTACCTTTCTTATGAAGTAAAACAAAACAAAACAAAAAAAGAACACAAACCTGAGGATTCTGATCACTCTTTCTTTGCTATTCTAATTCCTCTGGCAAAAAAAAACCTATTTTTTTTTTGCTCAAAATCCTCTGCTTATTCCCACTCTCATGTTTACATCTACAAAAACTCCCGAACAAACTCAAGTTCTTTTGAGCTGAGCATATATAACATAAGTTGGTAAAGATTTTATATCCATCACTATGCATAGTTTCAAAGCTCAAGATCCAACACTTGTCTCTTCTTCTTTGATTCATTTCTACAGCTACGTCCATCAGATTTCTCTTCTTCCTCCTCCTCATCGTCTTCTTCCTCTGCTTCCTCTGAGCTATGGCCACCATTATTACTACTGAACAACCCTCTTGCAACAAGTGGGCTTTGTGGAGAATCCGACCTTGACAAACTTATTAAGCTCTGTGTTTCTCTCTCTAACACACCGGCTTGATCCGAGGATGACAAAGTCTTTGACGGATGCAGCGGGTGCTTGCGGATATGCATTCTATATTTCTGCAATAACATTTCACCTCACTGTCAAAATCATTCATTCATTCACACATCAAAGTTTAAGCTACTCTAAAAGATGAGAACTTTTTACTTGTAAATGGCTCTTGACTTCATCATTGGTTAAACCATCAACTTTCATCAAATCTCTAATCTGCTTTGGTGTGGCCACTGTCTCACAACAAAAACAAAAACAACATAACACAATCTCAGTACAATTACTCATCAATCAAGTTTTAAGCAAAGTTGGATCCTTTTTTGTTTCTTTGGTTAAGGACTAACCTTGTGGCCCTCCAAGCTTATGAAGGGCATCAACAAATTTACGGTGAAGATCCTGTGACCATCTACGTCTCTGCTCTTTCTTCTGTATGTGATGACTCTGTAACTGTGAAGGTTTGTTGAATAGATGATGATGATTCTGCTCAATTCTGTTACAATCCATCATCATGTCCGATGTTGGAGTCATGAGAGACAGAGGAGCCGGTGGTGGTGGAGGAGGAGGAGGACGGTTAAATGGCAGAAATGCCCCTCCTTGATTACAGTTCTGAAATGGGTTCTGAGTCACACACCGATCATCTTCTTCGTTTCTCTGTTATAAAACAAAACATGATGAATTGGGTATTCACAGACACAACACACACAAAAAGGATTCATCTTTGAATTGAATTGTGGATTATAATTACCGATTGGAATTGGGAATTAGGGTTAGAGATCCATAACTGGGCAGAGCTCATCCAGCTCTTCTTATCAGTTTCCAGTTTTGCCCCTTCACCATCATTGAATTTCCCATTTGATGCCATCACTGATGAACCTTTTCTAGCCTCTTCCTGCAACGCCCCAATCGCTAAACACAGAGAGAGAGAGTAACAAAACAATCTCTTCAGAATCACAAAGCACAATTCGATTTGAGAACCCATAGGAGAAAAATAAAAAGGAGAGATATTTAAGATACCTTCGTTCAATAAGAGCATGCATAAAGGGAGTTCTCGTTTAAAAACATCGATTTTTTTCCTCTCTTCCTCTAATCTCCCGACATAACCATCGATTTCAGACAGTTTCAAATGATTGTCTTTGATCCTCGACACTTCATCGAGGAATTGGGATAAGGGTTTTGGTAAAGAGTAGATAGACAAATTCAGATTAAGACCCATCCTTTGATCTGTTTCTGTTTGAACCATCGAAACAACAAACGGAAAAGATAAAGACAAAGAGAAGCTTAAAGACACGTATATATAGACGAAGGACAAGAAGGTGAAGAAGAAGAAGAAGAAATGAGATGGATGAGAAGAAACAAAAAAAAAAGGGATTAGGGGAAGAAGATGAAGGACGCGGTGAGCCGTAGCCGCTGTAAATAAGTGGAGATACGAGGGCGTTTTCGTAAAATGATAAATTAGATTTATCTTTAAATGGAACAAAGAATCTTTTTGTGATGCCCGTACACACGCGGCGAATCGTTACACTCTCACTTGTATATTTTTATTCTTTCTTTTAAGGATTTTTTTCCTTTTTATTCGGCTAATTATAAGAATAAACTATTTTTGAGTTTTCGGGAAACTTGTTATTTTTTTTGTTTATATTTCAAGATTCTCATATTCCTATTATCCTGTATTTATTAATTTCCATATTAGAAAAAAGAATTGGGATTGTGCAGAATGTACAGTACACAACCACTGTTTTATGCATAACCAGTGGTTCAGGCTGTTCAAAATCCCACTTAAAATATACTGTTTTATTTTAGATAATAGAAAAAGGAATATATCGTAAAAACCAAAAATAAAAATGGAAAAATATCAGATCAATAGCCGGAGGATGACGTCAAAAAAAATAAACTACAAATTTTTTTCTATAGCTTAAGAAAGATCAAATTTATTAGTAGGATTCACTAGAAAAAAAATATATTAATTTTTTCTACTTTTTCAATTTTGCTTATACATCATATTAATTTTTTTTTTAATCCTTAATTTAACAATTAGAATATCATTTGTTAGTTTTACTTTTGTTTTGCTAAGTTATTAGTGTAAAAGCCAAATTGCACTGATAAAAATTGAATATGAATACAAGATTTTTAACTTGGATATGAATCAAAAAGTGTAAGAAATACAAACAGATGAACATACATGTGTGTGCACTAATTTTTTTATCTCGGTTTAACCGAACGGAACCACTCGTTTGATAATCGATCGAACAAATCATGCAATACTGTTTTTTAAGGCGTACGACACATACAAATACCTACTTTTTTTTTAGTTTGTACTACTACAACCATATAATATTAAATTATTACCATTATATACACATGAATAATAGTGTATGTAGCACCATTATTTATTGCCAAGTTATTTCACTAGCAATGAGCAAAAAGGATCTTTTCGCATAATCCAATGTAAAAGATCCCACGAAGTAAAGCAACTTTATTCGTCGCTTTTTTTTTGTTTGTCAAATTTTTTAAAATAGAATTCAAAGTTTTCGAAATAACATTTGATTCCTTTTTAACATAAGAAAATAATACATTGATAATATTCCGAAACACCGTAGCATGTAAAAATGTCTAAAGACCTATAAAAAAAAAAAACAATAAAGACGACGACAAGAGAATCTAAACGGACGGACAAAAAGAAACGGCTAACTGTAACCCAACTATACCATGACACGTATCCAACTAAACTTGTTTTTTTTTTCTTTTTTTTCTTTTCATTGGCATCGTTGTTCTTTGAAGGATAGGAACTGAAACGTTTCGAGTTGTAAAATAAAGACGTCGAGATTTTGATACCGTTGATTGATCAAAATCAGATTCTCTCTTGTGGTGGTGAGTGGTGGGTTCACGACACGTATCCCTTACCTTTTTGTATTATTAGTTTTTTTTTTCCCTTACAAAGCTCTTACAAAGAATAGCTTTTGCTCTGTCTAATCGAAATTTGAGGATAAGGTTAATCGTTTCTATCTGCGAGAATCCAATGATAATCTTTGGTTGATAAGTAAGTAAGACATTTTCATTTCATTCCAACTTTTCAAAGTTTTCGTATTTCGAAATAGTTGTCGTCACTAATAGAGATAATATATATATACACGAACATCCAAATATAACCAAAATGTAGTGGCAAGAATTCAGACATAACCAAAATATGGTCCAACTTTGAATCCCATAACTCGACTTTTACTTGAAAAAGAAACACTTTATTGAGTTATTGTCCAATGGAAAAGAGGTTATGGGTTTCTACCTAAAAGCTCTTTTGATTAACTTTTATAGACAAACATCCAATCACATTTTTTAATCAACTTATAAAGTTATAGTTTATTGGTAATTTGGCAAAACAATAGACGCTTCTTATATGTAGTAGTTTCAAAGATTCTTTCATTCTCTACAACTAAAAAGGTTGAATGTGTTGGATGGTCTTAAGTTTATCTTGTAAAGGTGAATAAATCATTGAATAAGATGCTGTTTTCTCGTGACAAAACAAGGAATGATTCCATTTTATCTTTCAACAAAACAAAAACTAAAAAACAAATTGATTCTAGGAACAAAACTTATATTATATATCTAATTTTAATAGGTTTAACAACACATCCGATGTCGTCCAGCGGTTAGGATATCTGGCTTTCACCCAGGAGACCCGGGTTCGATTCCCGGCATCGGAGGTTTTTGTTTTCCATTTTGATTTTTGAAAGATTTCAGAACTTCTAAGTCAAATAGAAGGTTTCGTAAGATAAAAACAATCGGAGGATCTCTTAAATGTTGCCCGGCGGCGAGATCTTTGAATTTGAAAACTTTTCATTTTGGTAAAGATGAATCGTTCAAATGGGAGAAACCTAAGAGCTTTTCATGGATTGATATTCAAAAGAAACCTGTCCTCTGCTCTCGCATCACAGAAGAGGTTTTCGGATAAAAAGTTCTTCAATTCGAACAATGAGGATGTTGGTGTTGTGGAGCGATTATGTAGAGCTAATAAATTTGGTGAAGCCATTGATGTTTTATGCGGACAGAAGCTTTTGGGAGAAGCTGTTCAAATTCTGTGTCGAGCAAAGAAGCCACCTGCTTCTACTTATTGTAATCTCATTCAAGTTTGTAGTCAAACACGCGCGCTTGAAGAAGGTAAGAAGGTTCATGAACACATTAGGACTTCTGGGTTTGTGCCTGGGATCGTTATATGGAACCGTCTTTTGGGTATGTACGCAAAGTGTGGTAGCTTGGTTGATGCACGGAAGGTGTTCGACGATATGCCGAAGAGAGATGTGTGTTCGTGGAATTTAATGGTTAATGGGTATGCGGAAGTTGGGTTGGTTGATGAAGCAAGGAAGCTGTTTGATGAAATGCCTCAAAGAGATAGTTATTCGTGGACGGCTATGGTTGCAGGATATGTTAAGAAGGATCAGCCTGAAGAGGCATTGGTGTTGTATAGTTTGATGCAACGGGTACCAAATTCGAGACCCAATATTTTTACAGTTTCTAGTGCGGTAGCTGCTGCTGCAGCAATTCCATGTATACGTAGAGGGAAAGAAATTCATGGGCATATCGTTCGAGCTGGATTGGATTCAGATGAGGTGCTTTGGAGTTCGTTGATAGATATGTATGGAAAATGTGGCTGTATTGATGAAGCAAGAAACATCTTTGATAAGATTCTTGTCAAAGATGTTGTCTCGTGGACATCGATGATAGATAGGTATTTCAAGTCCCGTAGATGGCGAGAAGGGTTTTCTTTGTTTTCTGAGTTGATAGGTTCTTGTGAACGACCTAATGAGTACACTTTTGCTGGGATTTTGAATGCTTGTGCTGATCTCACTAAAGAAGATCTAGGGAAGCAAGTTCATGGATACATGACAAGAATTGGGTTTGATCCCTACTCTTTTGCATCAAGCTCTTTGGTAGACATGTACACGAAATGTGGAAACATCGAAAGTGCAAAACATGTTGTTGATGGATGTCCTAAACCTGATTTAGTTTCTTGGACGTCTTTGATTGGTGGGTATGCCCAGAATGGGAAACCTGATGAAGCCTTGAAGTACTTTGACTTGCTCCTCAAATCTGGCACGAAACCTGATCATGTAACCTTTGTAAACGTCCTCTCCGCTTGTACGCATGCCGGGTTGGTCGAAAAAGGACTCGAATACTTCCACTCGATAACAGAGAAACACGGGTTATCACATACTTCTGATCATTACACCTGTCTTGTTGATCTGTTAGCTCGTTCTGGAAGATTCGAACAGTTAAAGAGCATCACTAGTGAAATGCCGATGAAACCGAGTAAGTATCTTTGGGCTTCCGTGCTCGGTGGGTGTAACACTTACGGAAACACTGACCTAGCAGAGGAAGCGGCTCAAGAACTGTTTAAAATAGAACCCGAAAATCCTGTTACTTATGTTACAATGGCTAATATCTATGCTTCAGCTGGAAAATGGGAGGAAGAAGGGAAAATGAGAAAGAGAATGCAAGAAATCGGAGTCACCAAAAGGCCCGGTTCAAGCTGGACCGAGATAAAACGGAAGCGTCATGTATTCATAGCAGCAGATACTTCGCATCCAATGTATAACCAGATAGTTGAGTTCTTGTGTGAATTAAGAAAGAAGATGAAAGAAGAAGGGTATGTTCCTGCTACGAGTCTTGTATTGCACGATGTAGAAGATGAACAGAAAGAAGAGAATCTTGTGCATCATAGCGAGAAACTTGCTGTTGCGTTTGCAATTTTATCGACACAAGAAGGAACAGCGATTAAGGTGTTTAAGAATCTGAGGTCTTGTGTGGATTGTCACAGTGCTATTAAATTCATATCGAAGATCACAAAGAGGAAGATAACCGTAAGGGACTCAACTCGGTTTCATTGCTTTGAGAACGGAGAATGTTCTTGTCGAGATTATTGGTAACGAAAAAAACTATTTGTGATACATCAATTTCAACGGTTCATGTTTTCACAAATTAGTCAGTGAGTCATAGAAATTGTAAATTTTACAATGTTTAACTGTTCATGTTTTGTAGAACCTTAATGTACATCCAATATGATACAATCAATAATGGAGAGACAAAACGAACAAAGGCATGAAACTTCCTGAATTTCCAAAAAAAAAGGATGAGTCCACTAATGGCTCCAAAATCGATTAGCTATTCTCAAGACAAGTTTCGTAAGATGAGGAAGAGAGGAATTGTTAATGTCAAGTACACATTGCGTATAAATACATATTATGTGGTATAAATACATTAGGATATACAGTATATCCACATGTTACAAGCGAGCTTAGTGGTAACGGGATCCATGTGTGATCTCTTCCCAATATATGTGATCTCTTCTAGGAATGCATGACACCATGTCTCATGGTTTGGACTTTGGATTCATTAGTATTTGGTTTGACTTCACCTTCATTTAATTTTAGTAATGCTAATTGGAATCTCGTGAGATAGAAGCACACTCTTTTAAGTTTCAATTAGTTTGAGAAATTAATTATGTGTTCTGTGATTCGTGCGATACATCTAAATTAAAAGTCAACCTGCTTATTTAAACTATTTTACGTATGAGGGAACATAGAATTTAATCATAGATCAAGATCTACTTTACCAGTCTCTGTTATCTAATGTATTTTGCTTATGTAATTTTTAATTTCCAAAGTCAAATCTCAAAACACGCTTTTTTTTTTTTCTTATTTCCTAAAAGATCTGTATGCACTCATACCAAGTCATGTGCTACCTTAGAAAGGCACCGCCATCATAGTTACGATTAAAAAAAATTCCAAAACTTGAATTGTAAAGTGTATAAATTTCAACGGACGTAACTGTATTTATTTGGTGTTAGTTATATACCATAGTTGAATTCTACACACTACGCAATTCAAGTTTTGGAAGTTTTGTCGACACACTAGTTGTGTGGGTGTCGGCTTCCGACACTTACTTAGAATTGGCAAGGCAGATGAAAGTTGTGAAAAAGCAATACACCTGACTTTACATTTTGACTAAACGTTTGGTTATAAGTGTGTGTGACCGACACTAACTAGTGTATGCTATTGCAGCAAAAGCCACCTTATATTGGTTACTATAACAGCTCACTCGAGATTAATGGGGACATTATATAACACTTTTGGTTCAATTTCTTCTTTTATCTATATCTCAAAATGGTTACATACTCTTGCCGACAAAGAAAAACTTTGTAGTTTAAATAATGTAGTAGTACACATACCTATGATAGTTTACAAATCTCAAATCTATATCGCGTAAAATTTAAATCAAAAAGGTTTTCAAGGCAAGCATATTTCGCATGAAGTACGCCGCAAAAGAGCAATTGAGGCTTTTGTGTGATGCATGGGGATTCACGTCGTCCTCGCTGACAAATCTTAATAAAATACATACAGTTACTTACTCCCTCATGTATATAAGATTGTTCCTTGGTGGAACCCCAAACATATACTCACAGACAAAACTGATTCTTGATCTTGAGTCTCGTAGAGGGAGAGAAAGATCAAGATCAAGGTTCTATTCGTTCGTCTTACCAAAATGAAACAGACCAATCTCCTGCTATGTAAATTATTCATAGGAACTTTGTTTTGGTTGGGCTCTGTTTTGGTTAATGGGGAAGACCCATATATGTTCTACACTTGGACTGTTACTTATGGAACAAGATCTCCTCTAGGTGTTCCCCAACAGGTAATGTATATAAACCATTATTTTCTAAAGTTATATATATAATCTTGCAATGAGAAACTTAATTTTCTATATTTTGGTATGATGTACGTAGGTCATTCTTATCAATGGGCAGTTCCCTGGTCCAGCTATTGAAGCTGTCACAAACAATAACATTGTTGTTAATCTCATTAACAAGCTCGACGAGCCATTCCTCATCACCTGGTATCTAACTACATAGCTCAATGAGCTTATCGTACTTAGAAAAATATGGAAAAATAAAAAAACTTAACACGGTTTTGTATTTAATATGTGTAGGAATGGAGTGAAGCAGAGGAGGACAACATGGCAAGACGGAGTATTGGGAACAAACTGTCCTATCCAACCAAACTCGAACTGGACTTACCAGTTTCAACTTAAAGATCAAATCGGCACGTACACTTACTTCGCTTCCACGTGGATGCACCGAGCCAGTGGTGCTTTTGGTGCCCTCAACGTTAACCAAAGAGCCGTTATTACCACTCCTTACCCTACACCAGATGGCGATTTCACCCTCCTCGTCTCTGACTGGTTCAAAATGAGCCACAAGGTATATATACCAACACTAAAGCTTTCTTATGAGTTTATATATGACCATTTCAGACTATTTGAAAGTCTTAACAACCTAAACTTTTGATTTATACACTAGGACTTGCGAAAGAGGCTTGACGCAGGCTATGCTCTGCCTCTTCCAGATGCTCTTCTTATCAATGGTGCTTCTAAAGGCTTAGTCTTTACCGGTCGACAAGGTAACGTCATCACATAAACCCATCAACATCCTTTATTTTAATATTTTTAACATTTCCGTGGTCTCTCTGATATGTAGTATTTAATTTCATTGTGTATCTTCAGGAAAAACATATAAGTTCCGGATATCGAATGTTGGTATTGCGACATCGATAAATTTTAGGATTCAGAATCACACAATGAGCCTCATTGAAGTAGAAGGCGCTCACACTCTTCAGGAGAGCTATGAGTCGCTTGACGTCCACGTTGGTCAGTCTGTAACCGTTTTGGTCACTTTAAAAGCTTCCGTGAGGGACTATTTCATCGTGGCCTCGACCCGGTTTACTAAACCGGTACTAACCACAACGGCGAGTCTCCGTTACCTTGGCTCCAAAAACGCCGCATATGGTCCTCTCCCCATCGGTCCTACTTACCATATCCATTGGTCCATGAAACAAGCAAGAACCATCAGGTATTCAAACCGGACATAACCAAACAAAATCCGAACCGGATAATCTTTGTGGGTTTTGTCTAAATTTATAATTTGGCTGAATATATATCAGGATGAATTTGACGGCAAATGCTGCAAGGCCAAACCCACAAGGATCTTTTCATTACGGTACCATACCGATAAACCGAACTCTGGTCCTAGCCAATGCGGCCACAATGATCTACGGGAAGCTTCGGTACACGGTAAACCGGATATCGTACATCAACCCAACAACACCGTTAAAACTCGCAGATTGGTACAACATTTCGGGGGTGTTCGATTTCAAGACAATCCTTAGCACTCCTACGACCGGACCAGCTCATTTCGGTACATCGGTTATCGACGTTGAGCTACACGAATTCGTCGAAATAGTTTTCCAAAACGACGAGAGATCAATTCAGTCTTGGCACATGGACGGTACTAGCGCATATGCTGTCGGGTAAGCAACCAACATTACCCTCTGTTATCTAAACCGGATCCGGTTATTCATAATTTTAACCGATACGTGATATGATATATAATTTTTACAGATACGGGTCAGGGACATGGAATGTGACCATGAGGAAGCGTTACAACTTGGTTGATGCTGTTCCAAGACACACTTTTCAGGTAATAAGATAATCTTAATTAGCTAGTAAAACAAATTAAAAAATGACCCTTAAGGATCTAGTTAAAATAACGATGATTGTGTGTGTATAGGTGTATCCGTTATCGTGGACAAGTATATTGGTGTCGTTAGATAACAAAGGGATGTGGAATCTAAGGTCGCAGATATGGTCAAGGAGGTATCTAGGACAAGAGCTCTATGTTCGTGTTTGGAACGATGAGAAGTCTCTCTACACTGAAGCTGATCCGCCTCTTAACGTTCTTTATTGCGGCAAAGCCAAACGCCCCCTTTAGATTTTTGTTTCACATATAATTATTGTTATGTTTTCTATTGAATTAGGTCACAACAATTTAAGTGGGAGTGGAGAAAAACAATATACAAAACGTAGTCCAAACGGAAAGAAAAAGAAAAGAAAAAGGCTCATTCATTTTTCAATAAATAGACAATGTACTTAAAAGTTTATATTGTCTTTATGATTTGTTGTTTGAATATGAGGTCCTGAGGAGTTCCTTAACATTAATATGCACTCTTTGGTTCAATGAACTTAAATCACATCAATCAAATCACTTTTCTTAGTGAACAATAATTGGATAGCTTGTATCATTGAAAATTCGAAAAATAGATATACACCACAAAAACAGAGTGTTACATGGATAATGTCGACATTTCTCACCATTTATATAAAGGGATGAAAAATCATTTCAGCCACACACCAAAAACAAAAACAAGACACTTACGAAGGAAGAGAACAGATGATGAAGCAGTATGTGCTTGTTCACGGAGGCTGCCACGGCGCGTGGTGCTGGTACAAGGTGAAGCCGTTGCTGGAACATTCCGGCCACCGTGTCACGGTTGTTGATCTGACGGCTTCTGGTGTGAATATGAGCAGCGTAGAAGAGATTCAGACTTTGGAGGATTACGCTAAGCCGTTGCTTGATGTTCTTGAGTCGTTTGGCTCGGATGATAGAGTAGTCCTCGTTGCGCATAGCCTCGGAGGTATACCAGCTGCTCTCGCAACCGACATGTTTCCTAGTAAAATCTCTGTTGCTGTCTTCGTAACTTCTTTTATGCCCGACACTACGAATCCACCTTCATACGTGTTCGAAAAGGTACATCAAACTTCATACAAGGGACCTAAAGACCAATCTATTTCTTTTCACGTTTGATCTTTAAGATGTGTGATTGGAAACGCAGTTCATTGGGAGCATTTCACAAGAAGAATGGATGGATTTGGAGTTTGGGAGCTACGGAACAAATGATAACCCTCTAATGTCTGTTTTTCTTGGACCTAAGTACTTAAAGAACATGTATCTACTCTCTCCTATCCAAGTAAGACTCAAGAAAATGCTCTGTTTCTTACAAAACACTATTAGTGACCTTTTTCTTGAAGAAACTTCTTTTTTGTTGATTGTTAGGATTTTGAACTGGCCATAATGTTGGTGAGAGTTGCACCGGCTATTACAAGTAATCTAGCGGGGACAAAAAGCTTAACGGAGCAAGGATATGGATCGATTAATCGTGTGTATATAGTCTGCGGAGAAGATAAGGGTCTAACTGTGGATTATCAACGATGGATTATCGAAAACTCTCCGGTTGAAGAAGTGATGGAGATCAAAGATGCAGATCATATGCCTATGTTTTCCAAGCCACATGAACTCTGTGATCGTCTTCTAAAGATTGCTGATAAATATGTCTAATCAAATAATATATGAAATATGAAATGGGAGAACAAAAAAAAAAAAAGATGATTCTACAAGAATAACATTAGTGTCCAGATGAGTAGACGATGCATTAAAATTTATTCAAAGCAATCCAACACGTAATAGAAGAAAACTATAGACACAGTGGAATTTAGGCACGAGGTAGTAATATCTAATGGGTCCAAACTAATAATTAGACATTGGAAAAGTGACTATTGAATGAGATATTGTCCCCAACCATAAATGCAGAACCACAAAAACAAGCACAACAATATCATTGATCAGGAAGAGAACATGAAGCACTATATGCTTGTTCACGGCGGTTGCAACGGCGCATGGTGCTGGTACAAAGTCAAACCGGTGCTAGAAGATTCAGGGCACCGTGTGACCGTTGTTGATCTCACGGCTTCTGGTTTGAACATGAGCAGAGTGGAAGAAATTCAGACTTTGGAGGATTACACTAAGCCATTGCTCGAGGTTCTTGAGTCGCTTGGTCCGGAGGATAAGGTTATCCTCGTCGCGCATAGCCTTGGAGGGATATCGGTTGCTCTTGCAGCCGACATGTTTCCTAGTAAGATCTCTGTTTCTGTCTTCATAACCTCTTTCATGCCCGATACAACGAATCCACCTTCTTACGTTTTCGAAAAGGTACATCAGAAACCAATTAGATATAATTGGTAAAAACTAGCAAAAATGTTTTAGCTATTATGCGGATTTATCCAGTCAAGATTCTGATTTGTGAGTGGAATGGCAGTTTCTCGGAAGTGTTTTGGAAGAAGACCGGATGAATATGGAGTTCGGGACATATGGTACACATGATCGTCCTCTAACCACTATTCTTCTTGGAACAAAGTTCTTAGCCAAGAAGATGTATCATCTCTCTCCGGTCGAAGTAAGACTCAAGAAATACTCTGTTTTTTTTTTTTGTTTCTCTTCTGGTTAAAGATACTAAAAGGGACCTTTTTGACGAATCTTTTGTTGATTTATCTAGGATTTTGAATTGGCCAAAACATTGGTGAGAGTTGGACCGGTGGTTACCAGCAATCTGACGGGTACAAGAAGCTTAACGGAGGAAGGATATGGTTCAGTTACTCGTGTGTACATTGTATGCCAAGAGGACAAGGGTTTAACCGAAGAATTCCAGCGATGGATAATCGAGAACTCTCCGGTTGAAGAAGTGATGGAGATCAAAGATGCAGATTATATGCCAATGTTCTCAAAGCCACTTGAACTGTGTGATCATCTTTTAAAGATTGCTGATAAATATGCGTAATATGATGTCATCAGTGAGATATTAGAAGTAAACTTGTGGTTATGACTATTTATATGAATAAGATTCCTGAAAAAAAAAAAACTCATTTCTACAAATACATTTGTCCATATGAGGTACTAAGGTTTTGAGAACATTCAATTATCATCAATTCAATGAATAACGCCACACATACAAACTGGTGCATAAGAGAATGCGGATCTGCTTCGACCTGCACCAAGCTCAACTTCACCAAGTGAAGACGATGAAGTCAAGCCATGTAAAAGATGTGTTGTCACAGGCTTAGGGATGGATTTTGAGATATCCCATGTCTAACGGCGTGTAGTTCGAGATTTTGGCCTTGAAGATTTCTGCAATGGGAGAGAAACAAAAAAGAGTCCAGTTTAAGACAATATTCCAATGACGTGATTGAAATGAAGCACATTGAATAGTTGTTAAATTTAGGTATAATGATCAAACCAGATAAATCTAATAAAACTGAGAGTTTATAAACTGAAAACTGTACTTACTGTCATAGAACCAAAGCTGGCTCCTGATCCTGGCGTAGTACCTACGGGACCACATAACAGAACTTAAAATTACGACAAGGAGAAATCAACAAATAACAAAACTTGATATTATGACAAGAACAAATCCTGATACCAACGCTACCAATATCAAATGAGAAATAGGGAAACAGACAATGCATCTGTACCTGCAAATTGTGACGGCATAGCACCCAGTGATGGGGTTGCCTGGCCAAACAAAGATGAAGCGGAACCAAAAGAGCCAAAAAGTGGTGCGGGAGTGGTTGATGGTCCAAACAAAGACGAGGTAGGAGCAGCAGAAGATGGTGTAGCAAAGAGAGAAGACGAAGGTGCAGAAGCAGGTGTGTTGAGAAACGAAAAACCAGCTCCTGAAGAAGGGTTTGATGTTGTAACAGCTGGCTGTGGAGCATTTGAAGCCCCCGGAGTTGCTGAGCTGGCAATCAATCCAGCAACTTGTGTTGAGGGTTGTGTATTTGCAGTAGAAGCAGGTAGATGCAGAGTTGGGTGGACCCTTTTAGCAGCAGCTTCCTGTTTTGCTGTTTCCCTTCGATCAGCCTCAAGAAACGGATCATGGCATTCTCCTATTCGGCGTTGGTCAGCAAGATATGATGTTCTCATTGATTCAATATATTGGTGAATACTCTCTACCTGAACCACAATAAATTCAAACCAAAAAAAGGTTTACACATATTTCAAAAAGGGTTTCTACATTTGAGTTTTTGTAGAAAGAATCATTAGTGGTCTTACCTTAGCAGCCACATGAACAAAGAAGTCATGAACATTAGACATGACTTTTGGAAGAGATTCTAAAAGGGAAGCATGTCGACTATACTTGTCAGAATCCAAGGCGAGTAATTGCTCCAGCTCTTCAACCCATTGGCGGCACTCGTTTAGATACTTCTCAAACCTTACAACTGTTTGCTGTAGAAACACAGTGGGTTTCTTTGGAATCCCACGGTAAAAATCAGAAACTTGAACCGTTGTAGTAACTGCTTGTTGTTGACCAGCAGAAGCTGGAGCTGGGTTTGTTCCCTGCGCTTGAGATGTTTGAGAACCAACACTAACAACTCCTCCTCCTTGTTTCCAATGAGGGAATCTTGGCTGTAGCATCATAAAAGATCGAACTGCAATCTCTGCATTACGCAACATATCTTTGGCAACAATCATAAGCTCATGAAGAACAGCTTTTTGTCGATCCATGGCAGTATTAATCCCACCAAGCTCCTACAAAGTTAACAAACAAAGCTCTAATACAAACTTAACATAACCGGAACATTCCTCTATGAAACAATAAAACGGAAAAATCCACAAACCTGAACAATGCGGCTTGCATCGAACTCGAAACCTTCACTGGATACAGAAGAATCATAAAGTCGACTACACTGATCTAATCTCTGACTTTCACTTCTATACTCCAATATCTTCTCTCTACATATAAAGATCAATAACCATGGCATCAGAGACTCTAAAGTTATCGAATTTAGGGGAGTAACAACATCAACTTCTTCAAGATTTCACAATCTGAACAAGAATCGTAACAATTTCATCAAATAACCGTAAGCTCTAAAGCAAAGCCTAATAAGAAAAAAGGAAACAAATTTACGCGTTTAAAGAGAAGCATACTCAATCTGAAGCAGGAGTTTCTGAGAATCAGGATGAAGATCGGCCCACTTGGTACTGTAATTGGCCGGAGCTTTATCGTTGGTGAACAAATACAGCTGCTGTACTTGCTGCTGCTGTTGCTGATTTTGTACTTGTTGTTGCTGCTGGAACAGTTGCGGCTGAAACGACGGCGTTTGCTGTTGTTGCTGCTGCTGCTGCTGCTGCTGCTGTTGGGGTTGCGAGAAGAAGGAATTGGTCTGCTGCTGCGGCTGAAACATCGGTTGCGGAGTTTGAAATAGCGGCTGAGGCGTCTGCTGTGGCTGTGGGGTAGAGAACATATTGAACGACATTGCTTGATAAACCGGCGGCGAATCAAATCTAGGGTTAGTATTCGCCGGCGAAGTTGCGCAAAAGATTCAAAAGCCCCTCTCTCGTTAAAACTTTTTAAAACCCCAATTAAGTGGAGACGGGATATAAAATATATAATTTGATAGTTAATAGGCTTTATTCCAATTATTAACAAACTTGGAGGACTCTTTTTGCAAAGCCAAATCTGCTTAAAAATAGGAATTTCAAAATACATACGTCATACAGTATTCAGTTTTTGTTTTTTTTTTTTTCTGTTGTTATACAAACACTTATTAATATCTATGAGCCATCAATTATATACAACTTGGTAAATGTTTTCCTTTCATACTTTTCCTTTGTAAAATAATAATTTGTCCTGTGTATAATGAATCTTTTGTGAGGAATAGTTATTGTTATTAACATGAAATGTAAAAAGCTTTCTTTAGGTTACAAATGGTGAAAGAAACTTCAAACTAGTAATTGTGATCAGCCAAGGAGATCTTTCATTGGATCCTCGTGGTGAACTCTCTTCATTCTGTAAGCTTCCATCTCTTCCGGAGTCACATCATTGGTGTATTCGACATTGTATTTGCGTTTCCTCTCATTTTTATCTTCCCTCCTAGTCAAATCCTCCTGCACACCAAACAACAATACGTCAGATAAATCTTGCAGGGCAGAAAGAGAAAATATGAACTGAAACTATGGCGTCTTAGTTATTACCTTTCTAAGAGCATTAGCTAGTGCCTCCTTGTTCAATTCCAAATCTTCAGGAGTATCAGTTACCCATGTGGCCATTCTCTTCTCTTCAAACTTCTTTGTGCTCTCTGATCACCAATATACAAAACCATAATGTCAGTGTCGTTACAAAACAAAATGTAACAAGAACAAAAGAAGAGACTAAAGTAGAACAAACAGAGTCAACAGCACAAACCTTCAGGAGCTTCTTTGCGAGCAATGTTAGCCTTCATCAGATCAAGGGACGCCTCTGCAGCTTCAATCCCAGCAGAACCTGTGCAGTAGCTGTTGCAAATGGTTTGCTGGCATTCTGGCAACACTTGTATCCCCATTTATGATATTTCCACCAAGAACCCCAAACACTTGTGTGATTGTTAGTATGAACATCTTCTTCATATTTGCTTTTGGGAATTACCACCTCTCCCTTTATAATCCTCCCTGCTCTGTCATACTCAACTTGTCTTTCGCTTTGGCCAAGCAAAAGCTCCATAGGAATCCCATCTCTTGTAGCTGCATTCCCATACTTTTCCATGAATTGTATCCTTTGTCTGAGACTTCAGTTTGTCCTTTGCAGCCATAAAGTTCTTGTCGAGCAATTCAGCTTGGGATGGAGCCGCTTGCATATGCATGTCCTGTCCCTTGTCAAATGCTTCCCATGAATGGACGTTTAGCTGTTTGAACTCTAGAGCTTGGCCACTGTTTCTATAGTGATTATCTCCCTGGATAGATAATAAAGAAAGTATAAAAAGTTAGTTGGTATTTTAAATTTCATCAAAGTATATGATTCAAGATTGATCAGCAAACTAACCAGGTAAATTTTTTCAGGGAGTGGATCTTCACGCATATATCGAGTTTTAGGGTCATAATGAGCTGAGCTAAGATCAAGGTTAAGCAGGTACTTTGCAGGGTCTTCTCTGATACGCAGATTCCTGACAGTTCCTGAACTACCACCACCAGTTGTTCGAACACGTTTTTCAACCTTTGCAAAATCAGTCTGCTTGCTCTCATCAACCTTGGCTTCATCGAATTTTATCTCGTCATCTTCTTCCTCGCCATCACTTGTTGCAACATCATCACTACCGTTTTTGTTACCGTTCTTCTCCTCTAGTTTCTTAAGTTTCTGCTCCTTCAGATGCTTCTTTCTTGCCTCATATTTCGCTTCATAAAGAGCTACCACATGACGGTAGGAGGAAGGATCATAACCATTCCAACGGTCCCTCTTCCCATCATAGTCCAGTTCAAAGGTCTCGATCTTCTCATCAGGTGCAATGTGCTTGTTCGTGTATTTTGCACCAATCTTACGAGGTCTATCCATACATGTCTTTACATCGTGCGTCATTGCACCACAGTTTATACACGCTCCTTTCCTGTATATTTCGGCTTGATGGATCGTTGCACCTTTATCATACCATATCTCTTTGGGAGCCACGGGATCAACTTTCCAGTTCTTTTGATGCTTCAAACTCTGTAAAGACAAGACATAAAAAGACAGAGTGTTCAGTATACATGTTTTAACAACCTAGACGATGCAGAGAGAAACGATTGATGAAATGTTATCATAGAAAGAAGTTGAGCATACCGGTTTTTCAGACTTGAGATACCAAGGAGCAGATATCATATAGTGAGGGATGTGAGGATTGATTTCTTTTCCATCCTCGTCTACCTCAGCCGGAGCAAGCCCTGCTTTACGAGCTTCCTCTAATTCCACTTGCTTCCAATGATCTTCCCTTGACTTAAAAGCAACTGCACAACCCATATAAACATATTTTCAGAAAACATTCAAATACTAACAATACAACTACTTAGTGGATAAAAGTTAAAATCAGAACACTAACAAACAAAACCCTAAACTAACAAAACATATTAACTTTGATTGAGACTCTTTTAAGTATCACCAAATAGAATGTAATCAAAACAGAGCAGGTTATAAAAAACAAACCCTAATTTCGAAAGAACCGTGGTACCTGTAGCTGTAGCCATGGTTACTACGGACGTTGAGCTTCGACTCAATAGAAAAGAATAAAAATGCGAAGAAACAGGGGTATGATCGTTATTTATGAATGCGACATCTGTGGGAAACCAAAAAAAGGAAGGCGGATTCTCCTTCGTAGCACACTTTTGGATTTGGTCAAATATGGGCCATTAGAGGTTCGTTAAAGGCCTATTTATTTAGAAAGCTCTTCAATTTCAAGCCCAATCACCTTTTGCTATCAACAGAGTGTAAAACCTACTATTAATTACTTTTTTTTTGAAAAAGGGTAAAAATTAACAATTTTACTTCATATAAGAATTGTTTTACAGCTGTATGATAAATATGACTTTCCATTTTCTTTTTATTGGAAATTGGAATGGAGGAAATTTCCATTTTTCTTCAATTTACCTTAACAAGTAAAAAAGTTTTGAAATTCGAAAGAGTAAATAAACCGACCGTTGCTGTTCCTCTTCACTCACAGTCTCACTCACTCACTTATTAAGTAAAAAAAAAAATCATCTTGGGAAAAAATAAAACTATTTCTTCATCATCTTCTTGTTATTTATCCAGAGATCCAAAGAGAGAGTGAGAGGGAAAGAAGAGAACTTTGAAACCAAAACCAGTTCATCAGTCAAATCACAATGCCTGCGGTGAGAACGAGAGCCAAATGTTCGATTCCCATCCCAAACCCTAACCCAACCATCCGAGGAGGAAACCCAAACGTCTCCGTCTACGAGAAATGCAGAGAAGACCGGATCAAGGAGAATCTTCAGAGGATGCAGAGTCTCGGCATCGTCGATCTCTCCCTCAAACTCAAATCCGATCTCCGACCAGCTAAACGTCGCTACGGCTGTAAATCTCCCCGAGACACTCCTTCTCCTCTTCAGCATCCCGTCTCCACCAGACGTTCCTCTAGGTAATCTTCTTCTCTGAGTTCTCTTGGAATATTTTGTTCACATTGCTTCAATCTTCCAAAAATTAGAGAAAGTTAGGGCTTTTAAGTAGAAAAATTAGGGGTTTTTAAGTTTAGTTGCTTCAATCTTCCAAAAGTTAGGGGTTTATCATTTCGTTATTTTATCATCCTTTCGTCAGATTAAAGCAGGAACCGCCAGTTACTCGGAGGTCCTCGAGGTACTAATCTTCGTTTTTGATCTCTGGGTTCTGTTTTCATTGAGTAGATTTTGTTCAATTTCAAGGGTTTAACAGTAAAGTAGGGTTTTTTTGTAAGTCAAAATTAGGGATTTTTATTAACTTATTTTGTGGTCTTCAGATTGAAGAATGCTACGCCAGTTACCTATGCTGAGGAACCTGAAGTGAAGAGGGGTAAAGCATCTAAAGACGAGGTTGTTATGTGGGTTGGAGAAGGCGTGAGGCCAGAGATTTACACTGATGAGCATGAGAAACTGCTTGGTAGCACTGAACGAACTTGGGAGCTTTTTGTCGATGGTTATGGCAAAGATGGGAAACGGATTTATGATCCTGTTAATGGAAAGACTTGCCACCAGTGCAGGTTTGTGCACTTGCCTTTAAACTCTGAAAATGCAGCTTGCTTGGCTTAGATTGAGACAGTTTTGCTTAATGGTTACTGCGGATTTTACAGGCAGAAGACACTCGGTTATCATACTGAATGCAGTCAATGTAACCCATCAGTCCGAGGCCAATTCTGTGGAGATTGTTTATACATGAGGTACACAGTACATGACACCAACCTTTGTCTGTTTTTGTGTGTTTGACTAGTCTTTTTGTTTAGAATCAGTTATCAATTGAGTATCTTGCTTTGTTCAGTTTAACGAGGATTGGTCCTGAATGTTTTAAGTTTCTGTTTTGGTGATTGAACAGATATGGAGAACATGTTCTTGAAGCTCTGGAAAACGTGAACTGGATTTGTCCAGTCTGTCGTGGGATCTGCAACTGCAGTTTCTGTCGTACACATAAAGGGTGGCTCCCGACTGGTGCAGCTTACAGGAAGGTAGCAATTTCGGTTATTGTATCTATTGTGCTAATTCTGATTTTGATTTCTTGGATAGATTGAAAGGTTAATGGCTCTTCCCTTGAATTTTTTTTGTTATCAGATAGTTAAACTCGGGTACAAGTCTGTTGCGCATTATCTGATTCTCACCAACAAGCAGTCGGAAACAGTTGAGGATGATGAAACTGATGATGCCGCTGAAGATAATCAAGCTTCTGCTAAGAGATCACTTTCTTTCAAAGAAGCAAAGGAATCTGCGGAAGAAGATCATCTCCTTCTAAAGATTACTGATGGGCTTCAGGACGATGAGGATGGCACAAACAAGAATCCGGATTCAGCTAGAAAGTCATTGAGCTTCTTGTCTTCTGGGGACAATCAAACTTCAGTGAATGATGTTCAAGTGCCAGGTGATGTCAAGCCATTATATGTGAAGGAGATGGAACCAGCAACTCCTGTGACCGTCGACCTTGAGGTTCAATGCGGCCAGACCAAGAAAAAGGCCAACTCTGCAAACAAAGAGAACCAAGAAACCAAAGGGAAGAGGAAAATGGCTGTTGTTGAACCAAACCCAAACAGTATCGGTGGAAGACTGAGACAGCGTCGTAAGACTCAAGTTTGAAAGGAAGAGAGAAGTTTCAGAAGACTATGAATGGGATACTCTGCTTTTGCTATCTTTATTCTCAGACTAATCACAGTGAAGCTTTTTTCTTCACTTTTTTTTTATCGGAGTAAACATGGATCATGTAAGAACTTGACGGCTTGTCAAATTTTGTGTTTTTGTTGCTGGCTTGCTGCTGTTGGTGATCTCATGTAATGGATGTTTGTGTTATTACTAATAGTAACCATCAATCTTTAGGTAGAATAAAGAAACTTGAATTACTTTTTTTTGTTTCCGTCGTTTGATTCAAACTAGATTCTGGAATCACTAATGCTTAGTTTGCAAACTAAATAAGCATTCAATTATCCTAAAGCAGTGTGATCCCAATTCCCAACTAAACTACAATTCAAATTTGAAATATTTAGGAACTACAACTCGTACGGTACCACTGTACCACATTGATATATCTCGAGTTCTCAAATTAAAAGTAAATTGTTCTTTCGGACTTAAAGAGTGTGTAGCTTTGATACAGCAGACCAAATAACAATATCTAATTTATCATCAGATAAACACAAAAAGGGGGAATGAAAGAATTATACCTGTTTTGGTCTTATTGAAAAGGACATAGAATTTGAAACCAAGCACTTGATGATTAACTAGACTACACTAAAACATTAAGAAAAGAATGATAAAAGAAGTATTCGATTTGATATTTTTATTAGTAATAAGAAAAAAGACAGAGAGCATTTTATTTCATCAATAACACATTGTGTTCCATGCATAATAAACAATAATACAATAATACTATCTCTGTCTTTTTTTTTTTTTTTTTTGGAAGTAGTATTACTACATGATACAAACAATGTGTCTTAGTTTCGTGATAGAGCTAAATTAACAAAGACCTTTATGGTACTATTGGGAAAAAAGAGTAAATAAATAAATGTAGTACATGAACGAACTGTTCTTCTGTGCAGAACTTCTCAACCACAGTTGTGGTTGGTCAATGTCTCAATGGTGTGTACCACCAACTACCAAACCTATGTTTTCTTGTTTTCTAATACATAATATATTCCTTAAATTAAAAAAAGTAATAAGAATTGTTAACGTGATGCTGCAAAATTTGTTACCTTTCTTATCTGTTTGTTTATTAAATTAGTAAAATGGTTGATTTATTTATTATGATCCATTACAATATTTGAAAATAAATAATGTTATTGTCTTTTTGAAAAAGATATGTATGTATGGAGTCCAAAGTAGGCAAAAGCATCCCCCACACCCCAACCTTACATTTATAATAAGGCATATACATATTTCGTCTGTTTCAACCTAACATGTCTAATATTTATTAGTATACACAATGCAATTTCGTTTAGTAATCACAAAAGTAAAAAAGTAGTGACATATCATTGATATATATGTACATTTTTGTACAAGTCTATATTAGTTTAAAGTTGTGAATTATTATTAGATTAGCTAAGAGAAATGGAATCTGTTTCCTTAACAATACCGCAATTGCATTTGCAGGAGTTGACTAGTTTAATGCGTTCCTTTTGGGGGAACGATAAAAAGAAGACAAGAATTGTGTTTTTTTTTTTTTTTTTTTTTTTCGTCCAAAAGTTTTATTACTTAAGCCCAGTGGGCATGCAAATACGGAAGAGTTAAACTAGAGGATTACACACGAGATTTAAAAGGCCCAAACTAAACCATATTACAAAATACAAAAGATAATAAAACTTTGATGGTTTAGCATAAGACACGTGGAGATGAAGCACCTCCTCTAAGCCACGCATCAAATTGAAGCAGTTCCACGTCTCCACCGTCTGTTCTTCTCAAGCATCACCGGCATTCGATTAGCCACCACCAAATAACCCGAGGATGATGAGAATCCTCTTATCTTCTGCCGATCTCAAATCCAATCAAAGGATACGTCGAAGTCTACCGGATCAAGTATATTAAACTTCTTCAAATTTTCTTCGAGTATCATCAACTCCGGGGAAGCTCCACCACCGATTACATCCAGATTTTGATGTAATACTTTGCTTTGCTCTTATGAAATGAGCAAAATAAAAGTGACGAAGATATTACTCCTCGAATAGCTGAAGAAACAAAGAAAATTTGGAAGTGATTATCGGAGAAATCAACGGGAAAATAACATAACTGGATGAGAGATCTTATCTCGCTAAAACGAGAAATAAAACCGGACTTAGCCGGTACAAAGATCCGAATCTTAGCCGGAAATTATATTATATGACAAAATTCCGGTGTACCGGAAATCTCTTTCTCTCTCTCAAAAATAGAGGTGTGATAAGAGAGAGAATGAACTATTTCAAATGAGCAGAATTGTGTTTTCCTGAGTCTTTTTTTTTGTTTTGTTTTTGTTTTTGTCTTGTTTTCAGAATAAAAGTAGACTATAAAATGTCAAATACAGTATATGCTATGTTAATATTCCCACTAAATGGTCCTTTTTATGTTATTTGACTTATTTGTTTTCTTCTGTGTTATTTGACTTGAAAAAAAACCTTAGCCTTGTATATATATACAAGTCGTTTATTAGAAGATATGATTAGAGGAATTGAATAATAAAAATTACCAACCATACAATTATAGTATGAGGCCATGAACCACCACTTTTGCTTCTGGGTATTGTGAAAGTCAATGCCTTTTTTCTTCAACAGTGTGTAAAGAAGATAGATAGAGAGAGAGAGAGAGAGAAAGAGAGAGGCCATTGTTGTTAGTAAGTAGTAAATGAAATGAGAGATTAGTGGTGAAAGGGGTCACCTTTGCTTTTGTATTCAAAGACAGTTCCTTTAAGGTCAATACTGTTGAAAGATTGATCTCTCCACAAATTTTCTTGCTTTCTCTTTTTTTATTAAATTGATTGCGCTCATAAGGAAGGAAGAAGAACAAGTGGTTTTCTGAATTTTGGGATCTGTTTTTTTTCTTTTTCTTTCTTTTGCTTTATACTAATTTTTATTTATTTTTAGTATTTTTTTTTTTTTGGTGTGTGTTTCCCTCTCTTCCTTCTCTCCTGAGAGAGACTAGACTGGTCCTAGGGTTTGAGCTCCTTTTGACTCTTCTCTACTCTTTCTTGGATTCCTTCTCACCCTTATTCGTGTTTTCTTCTTTCTCGTACTTTAGTTCGTTGAACTTGTTCCCTTTTACTTTCTTCTTCTTCCGTCAATTTCGTTTCCTTCACTCTTTGTTTTTTTTTTTTCTCTCTGAAAGTTTCCATTTTTGAGGTCTCTCTTCTTTGATCTGTTTCAAAGCTATTCTCTTTTCTCCTAATTCGTAACTTCTAGGATTTTATAATGAGCTACAAGACAAACCCTTTTTGCTGAATCTCCTTAATTCTTCTTGAAATGCATTTCTCTCTGTGGAAGCAAATTCATCACTGTGCGTCTCTCATCTTAGACAAGAGTAGGAGTAGGAGAAGAAGAGATGGGTCTGATTCATCTGTCACTGTCAAGAAAAAAGCTGCAATGCTTCGGAAATTGTATGAAGATAAGCTCAGGGAAGCTTTAGAGGAAGCTTCTGAGAATGGGTCTCTCTTCAAATCCCAAGACATTGACCAAGATAACGGAGATGGGAGCTTGGGTCGTTCCAGATCCTTAGCTAGGCTCCACGCTCAGCGTGAGTTTCTGCGCGCCACTGCTTTGGCAGCTGAACGTATCATCGAATCAGAAGACTCTATTCCTGAGCTCCGTGAAGCTTTGACCAAGTTCCTTCAAATGTACCCAAAGTATCAAGCTTCTGAGAAGATTGATCAGTTAAGATCTGATGAGTATAGTCACTTGTCATCATCGTCTTCAAAGGTATGTCTTGATTACTGTGGATTTGGTCTCTTCTCTTATGTTCAAACTCTGCACTATTGGGATACTTGTACCTTTAGTCTCTCTGAGATTACTGCGAATTTGAGTAACCACGCCCTCTACGGTGGAGCTGAGAGTGGTACTGTGGAACATGATATCAAGACTAGGATCATGGACTATTTGAACATCCCTGAGAATGAGTATGGTCTTGTTTTCACAGTAAGCAGAGGCTCTGCTTTCAGATTGTTAGCGGAATCTTATCCTTTCCAGTCTAATAAGCGGCTTTTGACAATGTTCGATCACGAGAGTCAGTCTGTGAATTGGATGGCACAGACCGCGAGGGAGAAAGGCGCAAAGGCTTATAACGCTTGGTTCAAATGGCCAACGTTGAAGCTTTGTTCGACTGATTTGAAGAAACGTTTGTCTTATAAGAAGAGGAAGAAGAAGGATTCTGCGGTTGGGTTGTTTGTGTTTCCTGCGCAGTCTCGTGTTACAGGTGCCAAGTATTCCTACCAGTGGATGGCTTTAGCTCAGCAGAACCATTGGCATGTGTTGCTTGACGCTGGTTCTTTAGGTCCCAAAGATATGGATTCACTAGGTTTGTCATTGTTCCGGCCTGAGTTTATCATTACCTCCTTCTACCGTGTATTTGGGCATGACCCGACAGGATTTGGTTGCCTGTTGATTAAGAAGTCAGTTATGGGGAGCCTTCAGAGTCAGTCTGGAAAAACAGGATCAGGAATAGTGAAGATCACACCTCAGTATCCGTTATATCTCAGCGATTCAGTAGATGGTCTTGACGGATTAGTTGGTTTTGAAGATCATGATGACGATAAAATCAAAGAAGCTCATCGTCCAGCAACTCAGATGCCGGCTTTCTCTGGTGCATACACTTCAGCACAAGTGAGGGATGTGTTTGAAACAGAGCTCCTAGAAGATAACATCTCCTCTGATAGAGATGGAACTACTAGCACCACAATTTTTGAAGAAACCGAAAGTGTTTCAGTTGGAGAGTTGATGAAAAGCCCGGTTTTTAGTGAAGATGAGTCATCAGACAATTCGTTTTGGATTGATTTAGGACAAAGTCCTCTTGGGTCTGATCAGCATAATAAAATTGCTTCTCCACTACCACCAATCTGGCATACCAACAAGAAAAACCACAAACAACGACAATCACCTAAACCAATACCAAAGAGTTACAGCAGTCCAATGTATGATGGTAATGACGTCCTTTCGTTTGATGCTGCTGTTATGTCAGTTACAGAGCCCGGGACAAACTCGACTCCTTCACGGAATAGGAGGAACTCTAGTAACAATCTCCATGTTCAAGAGATACAAGAAGAAAACTACGGCCATAGCTGGGCAAATGGCTCAAAATCTTCGAACCTTTCATCAGAAATCAAAGAGAGTGCTATTCGACGAGAAACAGAAGGAGAATTCAGGTTACTGGGAAGAAGAGATGGCGGTAGAAGCAGGATACTGGGTGTGGAAGATGAACATCCGAGCAAAGGAAGACGGGTTTCATTTAACATGGAACGTGTTAGTCATAGCATAGTAGAGCCTGGTGAAGCTTCTCTAGCTAGCGTCTATGACGAAGAGTACCATAACACAAGTGATGTTGACAATGAAGACGATGAGGGTGCGGATGATGAATGGGATAGGAGAGAAACCGAAACCGAGATTGTTTGCAGACATATAGATCATGTGAATATGTTAGGTCTGAACAGAACCACGACTAGACTCAGGTTTCTGATAAATTGGCTTGTGATATCGTTACTGCAACTGCAAGTGCCTGAATCAGGAGGCAGAAACATGAATCTTGTGCAGATATATGGGCCGAAGATCAAATATGAAAGAGGAGCAGCGGTTGCATTCAACGTTAGAGATAAAAGCAAAGGTTTTGTTAGTCCTGAAATTGTTCAGAGACTCGGTGAAAGAGAAGGTGTATCTCTTGGCATTGGTATATTGAGTCACATACGCATAGTTGATGATAAACCGAGGAATTATAGAGCTCGGACTAAAGAAGATAGTGCTTTGCACTTGCAGAACGAAGCCGGGAAAAACGGGTTTATAAGATTCGAGGTTGTTACAGCTTCTCTTAGTTTCTTGACAAACTTTGAAGATGTTTACAAGCTTTGGGCTTTTGTGGCCAAGTTCCTAAACCCTGGTTTCAGCAGAGAAGGTTCGCTTCCTACAGTTGAAGAAGAAGAAGCAGAGGATTCAGAGACGTGAGTTTTGTTGTAGAAAAGCACAAAGCCGCAACTTTTAGAGGGTAACTTGGAGAGGCTGACATAACCAATGATTGTATCGTCAAGAATCCATGTAGTTCACACGCCTGATCCATTATACGGTTTTGATCGCTCTCCTGGAGATGGAATGAAGGTGCAGAACTGTGAATTGAGAGATTTGGTATGGCCTGTAATCTGAAAGGCAGCACTTAATCGACCCAAAGATTCCCACCTTTTGGTAAATTTGGCTTTCTGTTATGTTTTTAGAAACTTGTAGAATTATTGTAAGTTCCTACAGAACTGATTTAGATCAATATATACACTTTAGATTCTATCTTGTCCTTGTACCAAGAGATAATCTCAGATTCTTTATGTTATTGGCCTTCACACTTATCAGTTATCACCTGTTCCAATTCATTAACATGCTTTAGTCTATTCCCTTACTAAATCAATAACCAGGAAAATGTGGAAAAACCGAACCTAAAACCAACTGACGATAAAAATCAATCGCGTTTCAATTCCCTTGTTTTATATGCAAACAAGCTCAAAATCGATCAAACACGAATGAGGTACAGTTATGGCTTTGCTTAGAATTATGTATTTCACAGAGTTGATAAACCGGATTGTATTGAGAGCGTTTGAGCATATTAGTAACAAATAAAATATCTGATACATGAAGTAGTAGTAGAAGTTGCCAAAACGGCCAACTAAAACAAAAATGTTATGGAATTTTACATTTCAAGTTTTTCTCATTTCCTCTGTCGCTGCTTCTTGGTTAAAGCAGCACCGGTGGCAAGTCGGAGAGCTTGGCTGGAGTTCTTGATGACTGAAGACGATCGTGGGACTTGCGCTCTCCTCATCTTCAAGAAATCTAACCCGCTTTTCAAGCATTCCGGTGGTGGAATCTCTGTGTAAATAACGGTTTCGATCCTGCAAACACCAGAAAAAGACACAATCAGAGGGAACCAGAGAGTGATGTTAAAAGATTTTACGCCACCAAGAATAGATGATCATACCCTGAGCTTTTCTGCTTTTTCTTTCTTGGGATTTCATCTATGATCTCTTCTTCTTCAGAATCCGACCCGGCTTTTTGTCTGTGAAATAAGAGAACCTGCCGATCTTAGACATTCATTCTAGCTTAAAGTGTTCAATGATAAGGACATAAGGAGATTAAGTTTCAATACTTTTCTCGCTCCGCAAGAAAGTCTATGATGTCTTTTGAAAGGAATCCTTTCTTTGCAAGAGCTTCAGAGTTTTCCTCTTCTTCTTCTTCTTCTTCTTCTTCTTCTTCTACTTCGACATCTTCTAATGTTTCATTCTTTCGAGACTTTCGAGGAGTTATTTTCTCTGCCATAAGCTTCCGCCTCTCTTTCTTTTCACGGGAAATCCTAGCATGAGGGAAAGCAAACTCATTAAAGAATCCACATGTTCCTAACTTAGCCCTAAAGAACCTTAGAGATCAACAAGTTCACAAACTAGGGGATTCAAAAATAAGACATAATTCCAATTGATTCTAGAACAGATATGGCTTTGCAGAATTAAGGTTTATGACATATAAACTATGGACGAAAACACCACTTTCTAGAGGGTCAATGAAGGATTACACATATCTAACAACACTCGCATAGTTTTGAACAATCAATGGTCCAATAGTTTAATTTCCTTCGTAACCTCCTAATTCACAAGCTTCATAAGCACTTATTTTGAATTCTCTAAACCTTTTCAACTCTACAAAGACACTCAAAGAATCACTAATGAAATAAACCAAAAAAATAGCTGAGCTAGAGAACAAGAGAGAGGGTAATGTGTGAGATAACAAACCTAGTCTTACTCTCTCTTTGTATTTTCCTCAACTCTGCATCCTCTTGCTTCGCCTGAAACAAGTCAAAAAAACACCACAGACGCCTAAGAAAATACAATATACTGGATTTGAGTGTTTCAGCTAATCCAAGTAAGAGAAGAGTACAGAAGAACAACAAACGGGATAAGAAACGACGGTAGAAAAGGAGTAAATTTACCTGCTCCTGGGTTAATTCTTCGGGTGCATCGGAATCGGAATCGTGGTCTTTATTATCCGACATCGAATCTGATTATCTTCTCCGCCGGTGTAGGGTTCTCTTCTCCGTTCTTAGGGTTTAACGGCTCTGCAATATTCCCAAATCGTCACGATGATTACAGACTATAGTTCCTCACTTCTCTAATCATACTTCTATTTTATCATGGGCTTATTTTAGGCTTTTGTTCGCCTTCTATTCAAGCCCACTAACTCACGAAACTGAATGGATATTTTAGAATATTTTTAACTTTATTTTACTTCTATATCAAAAGCTGGAATAGCTCAGTTGGTTAGAGCGTGTGGCTGTTAACCACAAGGTCGGAGGTTCGACCCCTCCTTCTAGCGTTTTTCTTTTTGGGGAACTTTTTCAATCTTTTTATTTTATTTTTAGGCTAAGCAAGTAACTTTTTTCAAGCTTTTTGAAAAATGAAAAAGACTATACTAAATCAATAAGCCGACCAAAATCAATATGGTACTAGACCGAGACAAGGATGGTGACCATAAATATAGTAAGAGACAAGAAAAAACAAATGAGACAAAACCCTCTGCTCAAGAAATCAAAAAAATTGGTGTACACATATATATATAGCATTACTGATAAAAATCAATTAAATGAATTACATCACTTTATAGTTTTATGCGTAAAGAACACAGCCATATCTATATATACTCTCAGCCAACCAAAAACCAATTTTTAACTCATGCGCTCTACTTTACCCTTCCCCCCACCAATCCAAACCTATACAATATATCGCATTTTCATTGGTGCAAAAGTAATCTGAAACTGAAATCATATGGTACCACTTGAACCAACTCCATTAGTGATTCTTTGTTCTTTCTCTCCATACACCTATTTGCTTCTTCTCTTAGCTTGTCAGGCAGTTGAAGGCAAATCCAATCTAGCAATGATTCCAAATCCTTCGCAAAGTCGAGTAAATACCAATCTAGTACCTTTGGAAGCATTAGTCTGTTGTTCTTTGATATCCCAACTGATGCTTGAAGATAATCTTTCTTTGCCATTTCTAGCTCTTCCTCTACATTAGCTGCTGTGTAGACCCTTACCTTCAGTTTCAAAAAAAATGGGAAGATAAAAAGGTTAGTTAACCCTCTACTTAGTTTTCATTCAAGCTTTTTCAATTCCATGTCTGAAACGGTTAAGCACAGCTTACAGCAGGAGAGGACCAGCTTCCACAGGAGAGGGCAAATGTGACCAGAGGCTCTGACCATTCCAATCCAAATGTGCTATGAGCTCTCATCTCTTCGTGTGTTGCAGTTTTGGGACAAGTCTTTTCCAAAAGAAGAAGCAGAGAAAGAAAAACAAAATTTAGAATTTAAGGTTTTATCAATGCTATACAGTTTTAAAGAAAAGAAAAGAAAGACGGGGCACTTACGAATTTCAAGTGGTATGGAAGTCTCAAGATGAAATGTTCGATTGTGATAGCATTGAGAGAGTGTCCTCCTACGATTATTGTTGCCTGACAAAACAAAGAGAATATGAATATAAACCGATAAAAATGTTAAAGCGCAACGATGTCAAATGTGAGTTTGAATCTAAACCTTTTGCATCAGTGCTACAACCATTTCAGGGGTCCCCGGAATTCCATGCTCCAAGAATGCCTAACAAGATAAATTGGAAACAAGACATCAGCTAACTTAACATTTTACAGACATCTCTCAATCTCTATCATACAAAGAAATCATAGAAGTCTCACATTCATCACGCATGAATTATAAGTATTTATCCAGAATGCAAGCTTCTGCTGGTGGCTAAGACCGTCTAGATTTACAATGGAAAGCTTATTAAGCAGGAACCTGGAGAAATATACAGTTACACAATACATGAGTCTAGGGTATTCAATCATTGTAGAAAATTCCATATCGATTGTTTAAAGAGGAAACTTACTTGAGACGATGGATCAGAAACGAAGCATTGATTCTTCTTCCAAGATCAATTGAAGATGCATCGACGGAGGAAAGATGCTTGTATGCACCAAGTTCTCTTGTTCTCCATTCTGAACAGTTATTATATGGATCCAAGACAATGTCCTTGGACGAACTAATCCTCAAGATAATAGTCACCAGACATTTCAGTAGATCCTCTGAAACTTTGTTTGCTACATTTCCACTTTGCAGTGTTTTGTCTTCCGAAGATGAACCTGAAACACTCTCTTGTGCTTTGTCCTGATCTGCTAATCTATCATCTAGCTGAACAACCGAAACATACAAAAAGGAGAAAACTTTCAGAAGAAAGTAAAAATAGAGTCATGCATTAGTGAAAGCGTAAACGTTTAACTTACCTGCAATTCTGAATGTTTATCCGCTGCTGCCTCCGTTTTAATCAAAGGTTTCTTCTTCTTCACAGATGTCAAGAATCTGCCAAGCTTCTTCTCAGGTGATTCTTTATTTTTCTTGTCTTTTGACGCATTACTAGATGTCTGATTCTCTTTGCCCCTCACATCTACTGGCTTGGTAACACTACTTATATTTGGTTTAGGCGACGCTTGTTTGCCATTTACCACTCTCTGACCACTTCGGTCATTAACTGATTGATCAGAGGAGAAGAGTTTCCTACTTGAGATGCTTCTGCTAAGACTATGACTCTGTTGATGCTTTTTAGGGGGAGTGATCATAGAATTGAACTCGTGTTGTGACATGGATTTTGATCGCTGGTGCTTACTGCTTCTAACAGGCGAATTCTCATTCAATCCGTTGTTATTAGGACTCTCCAGATTCCGCTTTGAAGATATGTAAACAGCTTCTTGGTATAAACCTTGTCTAAAGCTTACAACTTGCTCTTCTAACCGAACCACTTCCTCTTCAAGAACAGCTACTTCAGCAAGAAGCTCCAATGTCTTAACAAAACCCAAAAAAGAAACAGAATTCATACACAAAGAACAAAAAGTTTGAAATATAGCATGCAAAAAACATCCAGCATTCGATGCCTTACATGTCGAGGAAGGTAAGACGGAAGACGAGGTAAAGCTCCTAAAGGTCTAGTGAAAGCCCTCTCCAATGCTCTATGCACATTCTCCTCCTGCCTCAGCTTCCTCTTTAGCTTATCAACCTAATATAAACAACAACAATTTTAAGACTCAACTCATCACTGAGTCATCAAATCATAAACTCAAAGAAAGTGTCATCATACATCTTGTAGCAAATCCATTTTCTTTTCTTTATTAGCTCGGCGCCGATTAACCAGAGATTTTCCTGAATTAGCAAGAGCGCCATTGCCTTGAGACTCCTTCTTCTTCTTCTCCTCCTTTGCAGATTTCATAATACCACGAAACATCATTACTCATATGGACCAAAAACAGATTGAAGAACTGGAGCTAATAAGAAAGAAACTATTGCTCTGAGCCTTTGATAGTGGAAAACAACACACACTTCCAAATTGAGGATAAGAATCGAGTATAGATCACTTTCACTGTGACCAGTAAATCACTACGAATAACTATATTCTTTAGAAAGAAAGAAAAAAAAAGAAAAGAAAAAGCAAAGGTTCGGTTGGTAAATAGTCCAATGTAGAAGGCAAGAATCATAAGAAATATCTGAAATCCAAATAAGCAAGATTTTATCATCAAAAGGAACAAACTTTTTCACAGAGACTAAGCATATCCACCAAGAAAGCTTTCCCCAAAGTAGAAAACTAATCAAAATTGAGTTCACAAAAGTGACAAAAAAAGTGAAGTGAGAGAGAGAGAAAGAAAGAAAGATACTTGATTGGTGTCATGCTTTGAAGGAGCTTTCATGGAGGAAAGAGCAGCTCGAACACTAGTGTTCATAGCTTCTCTCTCTCTCTCTGTCTATCTTTATTCACCTTTTGCTTTCTCTCCACTCTAACTGATATAAACCCAAGAGAGAGAGACCCATCAAGATTATTAAAAAAGAAGAGTTGAGACACGAAACAAAACAGAAGTAAAAAGAAAGAAACAGTAAAATGTTAATGGAAAACAAAATAAAGTTTTAATCTTTTTCTTCTGAGAGAGTATTAATGGAGAATTAAGTACCTTGATGGAGTTTAAGAACAGAGAGCGGGAAAACTTGAAGATAAAGCGACCCAGAAGCAGAGAAAGGCTGGCATGTGTTTAAATTCAAGCTTATGTTTCCCAAAGATCCAAACTTTTTAATCCATTTTAGAATTTACTTTGGTCAGATAATCTCGAACAGAGAGCAATGAGAAAGAAACCTACAGAATCTCTTATTGGAGGTGAACAAGTAACACAAAACGACGAGAGATCAATGTTTTTAAATCGCCACTTCTCTCTCTAATTAATATTTTTCTTCGAAAAGAATGAATTTTTATTTATATACATATATATATATATATGTATAAGTTAGAGATTGGGAACTCTGGTCTGGTCTGGAGATGGTTATGTTGTAATATTAATCGGAGGAGATGGGAGATCTGAGTGACGAGCCCTCTCGAGAGCTGGTGGAGAGAATTGTGGAGATGAGGACAACTAGAGAAGAGAAGAGAGAGTGACTTTTATCTCCCATTTTTTTCCTCTTTTATTAATTGTAATTTGGTATTTAGTGGCTTTGGTGCTTTCATTTTCTTTCCCTATCTTTTCACTTCTTTTTTATTCACAGAAAATACTGAACATTAAACTAATTATTAAAAAATGGGATTTTATAAATAATGAAAACCTCTAAACCAATTTTTTTTTAAAACACAATGTGATTAATTAATTTAAATATTGTTTTTATAAAAAAAAATTCATTCCAAAGGTTTGTAAAATTTGAACGTGTTTTTTTCATATGAAAAAAAGATAGTGGAGTTTGGTTGGCTTACAGCTTTTTTTGTTTTGAGATTATTATTTTTTTCGTAGTGTGAGTGATGATATAATTTGTACGACAAAAATAGATGGAAAATCCAAAAATTATTGGTCACTGCTATTTTTATTTTTGTTTATGTCAATGGTCACTACTGTTCAGTCTACTCTAATAATAGCAATTTAAAGCTGTCATTCGAGTAATTCTAAATAGTTAATTTCCATTTGCATTTTCTTAGTCTTTATATACTTCAAATCAAAGTAAATCTTACGTCTTTGCTGATTGATTAGTTTAAAAAGGAGCTTATAAATAACCAATTGATTAGGGATTATATTAAGCCAAACAAAAAAAAAA